CTTTTCCGAAATGTCATTTTCTTTCGATTCGGAGGCTGCAGATCACGGAATCCGGTCGAGGCTATTCTCCACCGACAATGAATTCTATTTATCCTATTCTCCACGGATGATAAGTCCATTAAACATCGATTTGGGCCAATTTATTTTGGGATGGGGCGACGAAAGGACATTTACTAATGACATAATTAGTGTTTTTTTTTTTTGAATATGACATAATTAGTAATTAAGCACCTGTTTTGGTAGACAATTAGTACACAACCCAATACGCTTTCACGCTCCAATTCTTATATCGAGATTCCACAAACACAGATACACATAGCTAATTAATTATTGTAATTAGTACACAGCCCAATATGCTTTCACGTAATTATCATCGAGATTCGACGGGTTAGCATGCTAACCCCTTAAGGGGTTGGTTTTTTGACACCCCCCTTTTAATTGGTCAATTTTTTATTAATTATTGACAAGTATTAATGAAAGTAAACATAATAAATGTTTTGTTATTAAATACAAAGTAAGCATTAAATACACCACATTAATTACCACTTTACTGGTATTTGTACCACTGCACTGATACTCAGATATGACATTGCTACCAGTGCACTGATATCGCTACCAGTGCAGTGGTATATCTACCAGTACAGTGGTACACCGTATCAGTGCAGTGGTATATTTTTTGGAGGTGGTTTGAGGGAGTCTGCCGATGGGATTTTCACCGGAGAAGTGTGGCAGTCGGAGGAAGTCTGGTGGTCGGAGACTGCTGAAAAAGGAAAAATCAAATATAGTGAGAGAATTCCTAATGTGTATTTAATGTGTGTATTTAATTCCTAATGTGTATTTAAAAGTGAGAGAATTCCTAATTAATATGGTACATTTAATTCCTAATGTGTATTTAATGTGTGTATTAAATTCTATAGCTGTATTTAATATACTAGGGGGTGTCATTTTTCCAACCCCTAAGGGGGGTTAGCATGCTAACCGACCCCTATTTTCCCCCTTGCCCCTTATCCCTTTTACAATTTTTTGTACTTTAGGATAAATTAAGATTAACGACAATTAGCCTGAAGGGAGGCATCATAATTTCTAAAGCATTAGCCGCCTGTCGAATTATAATGAATTATTAGATGATAGATGGGATTCACAGGCTGCATGACTATACACTTATTTGTGTAAGGAAGTGGTTAAGCACCATACACGGGTCTGTATAAGATCCAACATAACCTTCTCCCAACAACTCGAGTTATTGGGACCAACTGGTTTATGACATGGTATCAGAGTTGGTTTGTCATTGAGGTCACGTGTTCAAGTCCTCATGACCCCAATATTAATTGTTGTCTTTCAAGCATATGGTATGGCAGGCCTGTGCAAACTTCAAGCTCATGAGTCGGCTTTCGTTTGAGGGGGCGTGTAAAGAAGTGGTTAAGCACCATACACGAGCCTGTATAAGATCCAACATAACCTTCTCCCAACAACTCGATTACCCTGATGACCAATAAAATTAGTTGTATTATATTCCTTGTCCATACAGAAAGTAGAAACCAACCACAGCAGTTTGGATAAATTAAGATTAGCGACAAAAGAGCAGAGAAGAAAGAAAAGACAAATGCTACTTGGAATCCTGCCTGCGGTGGGAATTAATAATTCCAGAGCAGATTCTTCCCATTGTTATGAGTATGACTGTTTTGTATTTTGTTTTCTTCTCTCTTTATGGAGTAGAACTTTCTCTCACTTGGGTATGAAGAACCCTAGTTCCATGTGTTAGGAATCATTGTTGTAATGAATTTTGGATGCTATACTGTGTGATTATAATCGATTGATGCATGATTCATTGAGTCAATTGAAGCCTGATAAACTTTTCTTGATTTCTGCTGCAACCTGAGATAGATAAATCTGATTAGGTTGTTAGAGCTTCATCAATTGGTAGTAGTGAATTGGTTATACGAGAGTTAATCGATTAACTGCCTTGTACTGGAATTCAATTCCAGTAGTGGAGTTCTGTGTTTATTGCCTCGGTGTTCTATCCTGGTGAAGACTAGTCGTCTTCCGGGTAGTCTGTCTAAGAGGGCTTGGTCAGCTTAAGAGATTCCAAACTACTATCGGATCTTCTGCAGTTTAATCAACAGTAAATCAACCTAAGGTAATTACAACTTTGACCTAACTAAGAATCTAGGGGGACTCATTCCCGAGTGACTCTTCCTTTGCTTAAGAACTTCGAACAATTTTCTGCTTTCCTACTGCTTTTCATTACAATCACTCTCACTAAATTTAGTCCTGCTAGATAATAGATACTCACGGAGTAGGCAGTAGATCTAGTCCCTGGGTTGATAAAGTTAACTTGCCGCTATTATGCATTTCCATTTTGCGATTACACTTGGTCGCAGTTTGGTGTTGTGTCGTAGCGTGTCATTATTCTATAACATCAAAATATAGTTTACCACATCTTACCATATGGTATTAAACCAAAAGACAACATGACTTATGGTTTCTTTCATTTTATAACATTAAACTATTGATTATGACATCGTACCATAATGGTAACAAAGCAAAACACAACATGACTTATGGTTTACTTCATTTTATAACATCAAACTATAGCTTATCACATCTTATCATATGGTAACAGTATGCAATATATAACATAGCACAGTACAAGTTATGTTTTACCGCATTAATACCATATGGTAACGATTCAACACCAGCTCACAACTGTATGGTAACGATTAGTAATGTAGCGAGTTTACTTCAATTTCCACATGAAGAGTGACTGAAATACTGTTTGTATTGTTTTGTGGAGGGATTTTGAAGAAAGAAACGAGGTTTTACCTTATTTTTTGTGCGAAAACGATTTTTGAGCCTCATTGAAGTTGGAAGCCCTTCTTTTTCAGACAAAGAAGCAAGAACAATGTATCGTTGAATGATTCTTCAAAAATCTTTCGAGTTTGAAGTTTCTTCTGTGTTTTCTGAAATTTTTGGTGCGATTTGGTGAGAGAAGTGAGGATCGGGAGGAAGAATCGAGAGTTAGACAACAGAGCCAAAGAGAACCATCGCGCGAAAGGCGAGAGAAAGAAGGAGAGAAGGCGGGACGGTTTAATGTCACGTCTGCTTTTCAAATTGTCAGAGTCGTATGATTACTATTTTGTCCCCCGTGTATTTACTTTGCATGATCTAACGGTTCACAAGAAGATGCGATGGACAGTGGATGGCACGGTTACTGATGATTACTAATAATAGGGTTATTGAGGTGATCCGGTCCCAACCCTAATGTATCACAATCCATCGCAAACTTGTCTCATCGTGAGCCAAATATTGGAGAGACAAATCAAACAAACCAAATATTGGAGCGGAAAAACTGATTACTTTAATTAGACAAACAGTGAAATGCAAATAAAACATCACGAGAGCACCCCATAGAACAAGCAGGAGAGGACTAAATTAACGACATACATTTGGATCTCCTCTTGTCTGCCTAACTATCCGTCCCCTGTTCGTTGGTCTGTTCAGCGCATTGCTTCATATTTTATGGGAACCAAACACAAACTATGTTTCCAATTCTCATTGCAAGCCCGAAATGTTCGGTCATATCCTAAGTCTCAGGTTTGATTCCACTTGGAAGCTTCCAGTCGAAGTGGTAGAGCAAATTCGCCAGCACAAGTTTGACAGTAGTGATCCCGAGTAACGTCCCAGGACAGTTCCTCCTTCCGGCACCAAATGGAATGAATTCGAAATTCGATCCCATATCTGGGTTCTCGGTGAATCTTTCGGGCTTGAATTCCTCGGCCTCTTCCCAATGTCTAGCGTCCCTTCCGATAGCCCAGGCATTCACAATGACTTTTGTCTTTGCAGGGATTTCGTACCCATCAATCTCGACCATCTCTCTGGTTTCTCTTGGGAGAAGTAGAGGAAGCGGTGGATGCAATCTCAAACACTCTTGAATAACTGAATCCAAGTACTTCAGCTCATGGAGATTTCCTTCATCGACATCTTCTTTTCCGTCGTATATCTGTCTCACTTCCTTTTGTGCTTTCTGCATTACTCTCGGGTTTTTCATCATTTCTGACATGGCCCATTCAACGGTTGTCGTCGTGGTCTCGGTGCCACCTAAGAAAACATCCTGTGAGAGAGTGCAAGAAAAAAAAAACATCCTGTGACATGGCCAAATCGGTATCATACTGAGAAAAAAAAAACAATTCAGGAGATAACGTACCAAAATGACTGCTTTGATGGCTTCTGTAGTTAAGGGGAGCTCCTGGTCACCTACTTCTTCCTGAAGATTCAAAAGGATATCAACCAGGTCGTCGGGTTGACCGACACTATGATTGATACCACCGACGTCGAATCCACCACCACCACCACCACCTAATTGATCTCTTCTTCTTCTTCTTCTATCTCGATGTTCATGGATGATCTCCTCAAGCAACGCATCGGTGGCATGATGGATCCTGGTGAGCTGAGCTCTGAACCCGGTCAAGGTTGGAAGGAATGTGAGAGATGGGAACAGCTCCGAGATTCTGAAACCTGAAAGCGCATCAGAAAGCTTGGCGAGCAGATTGGAGAATGTTTCTTCAAGCGCATCACGGGGCCATACCTCTGTGCCAACTCCCTCAGCCGGCGGTGAGGCAGTGGGGAGTTGATTATCAGCTGGTGGAGGTTCCCGATGATGGGTAGCTTCCACGGCCCCGGTGGCTGTGGCAGTACTACAACTCCCTTTCTTCTGCTGCTACGGTTACTACTACTGCGCACCATTATTATTCTAACGCTAATTATGAAGACGAGGGTGAAGGTAAGGAATGCCATCAGAGTGAAGTGTGGGAGGTGGTGACATAGTTCACATTCTACTAGGCTCGCGATTCGATCTCTTGTTATGGCGTAATTAAGCTAGCTAGCTACTTATGGGCTGTTAGCCTCGATATGGCCTGTTGGTTTATATACAGTCCATACTCCATCGGAGACCGTACCGGAAAATTCAGCGGGGGAAAATGCAAAATAGTCATAGGGGAAAACCATATTAATTTAATTATTGTCGCGTACAGGATCGATCAAACACAATTGATCAAGACAGCAACATAATCGGCATCAACATAAGCTTCCATGACAGGCTCATCCCCTGCTGGGAACAACAACCCAACATCCTGGCTGCCACGAAGATACCTCAAGATTTGTTGGACAGCATATTATACCTATAACCCTATTTTATACCTAATCTCAGCAACTCCGTCAAGAATTTTTTAGGTAATAGGAACTCGTCAACATTATTACAAAAAAATAGCCCTTCAAAGTACGTGTTTTACTAAAAGTGATATAATGACTTCAAACTTTTTCTTACAAAGATAAGACTTCATATTATCTTTATCATACGAATATTATATTATTTTGGTAGGACTCAACATTACATTCTCACCTCGGTGATATCATGATTGCACTACTATAATAAAATTCCAGATGATTACTATATTAAAAAAAAAGATTGATATCACTATCATACCATGATAATGATATTATCATCGTAGTAATACTTTCATTACATGACAGATAATAGCAATCTTCTTGTACATCATTTCTCTTTCCACTTCTCTCTGTTTTTCGCTCTTAATAATATTTCATCTTCACAAAGAAATCAATGATAGGATAGAGATAAGACAACGTGAAAAAAATTTTACTATATCATCATCGAAGGTGATATCAACTTGTATAACAACAAAATCATATTTTAGAGAATTACGAATTGTTGTTGTCTATATAATAATTGGAGGGGAATGAGGTTTCCCTTTCCCATTTCATCTACCAGTAGCAACTAAAAGAAAAACCAAGTCGTCGCAAAAAGTTCGTTTCCCATGGAACACTACTTGCAGAACTCGATATTCCCATCCACCACCATCCCTACTCTCCTCCTCCTAGCACTACTCACCGGCGCCGTCGTGCTGGCAGCCGCCAGAAAGAAAAAAAGCTCTCCATCAGCTTATAATCTGCCTCCGGGGCCATGGAAGCTGCCGATCATAGGTAACCTCCACCAACTAGCGGGTCCAGTACCGACCCACCGCCGCCTCCGAGACTTGGCCAAGAAGCACGGCCCCGTGATGCGGCTCCAGCTCGGGGAGCTGCCACACGTCATCGTGTCCTCCGCCGAAGCGGCCAAGGACGTCTTGAAGACCCACGACGCGGCTCTCGCTTCGAGGCCCTACCTCCTGGCCGCCGACATCCTCTTCTACGGTCGAAAGGGGATAACATTCACCCCCTACGGCGACTACTGGCGCCAGATGCGCAAGATCTGCACCGCCGAGCTGCTCAGCACCAAGCGCGTCCTCTCTTACCGTTCGATAAGAGAGGACGAGCTGTCTGGCAATCTGGTGCACCGCATCTCGGCCGCAGCAGCAGAAGGCTGCGGCCGAGTTGTGAACCTGGGGGAGACCCTTTTTTGGGCTTCGAACCGGGTGATTGCCAGGGCAGCTTTCGGCGTGGTTAAGGAAAATGCAGAATCGTTTATGGACGTTGTGAACAGTATTTCCGACCTGTTGGGTGGTTTGGCCGTCTCCGATTTGTACCCTTCCATCAAATTTCTTCCTGCGGTGACCGGATTTCGAGCTGAGCTCACCCGTCTGCATCGGGAAGCCGATGGTTTGCTCGAGGAGATAATCAATGAGCACGTCGACAAAAGAAGAGAGCTGAAGAAGAAGGGAGATTCGTGTGTTCAAGCAGCATCGACGGAGAATCTGGTAGATGTTCTTCTGGGTCTCCATGAAAATTGTACTGATGTGGATTCTCCATTGACCATTCAAAACATCAAAGCAGTCGCAACAGTAAGTGTTTTCACATTTTATGTTAAAATTTACTAGCTTTGTGCATGCATCGTTGTTATTGTAACATGTGTGCTGCAACTATGCATCAGGAATTGCTCCTGGCGGGTAGCGGAACCTCGCCTGTCACAATAGAGTGGACCATGTCTGAAATCATGAACAATCCAAGAGTATTAAAAAAAGTGCAGGAAGAAGTTCGTCGAGCATTTCGTGGGAAAGGGAAAGTCAGTGAAGAAGGATTGGATGACTTGGTGTACTTGGATGCAGTCATCAAGGAGGCCTTGAGACTGCACCCTGACGGACCTCTGCTAGCTCCGAGAGAAAGTCAAGAAGATGTGGTTGTTGGCGGGTACCTGGTCCCCGCCGGAACTAAAGTCATGGTCAACGTCTGGGCGATTGGGCGAGACAAAAGTTATTGGAATGATGCTGAGACCTTTTATCCAGAGAGATTCCTTAATTGTGCGGTGGACTATAAGGGAATGGATTTCGAGTTCCTTCCGTTTGGGGCAGGGAGGAGGATGTGCGCTGGAATTTCATTTGGAATGGGAATTGTTAAACTGGGACTAGCAAATGTACTCTATCATTTTGACTGGAAACTCCCAGCTGAAATGAAGCCGAGCGATCTAGACATGACAGAACGTTTTGGGCTTACGTTGCGCAGGAACTGCCCATTGTGTTTGGTCCCAGTTGCATACAATTCTGCACCATGATGACTTTCTTTGTATTATCTTACTAGCTATGGAATATGTACTTATCCACTTCTTTCAGTTGGATCAGGTGATTGGCCCACTGCAGGGATTTAATTTGCCCTTGATTTTGGTTGTTAATTGCGCGATGGGAATTAAACTTATTTGCTTGCCAACCTTGTAGTACTCGTACGTGGCTACCTTAGTTTTCTTCAAAATTTGAGATGAAAGCCGTTGTAAGAGAAAATTAAAGTGTTTTGACCACCTACACGTTTTGCTTTACTGCTGTATTAGGAGTTACTCTACCTTTTACACACACATCTCCTATTGATAGTCATAATAAAAAAAATATCTAAATGTTAGGACTCACCGAATTTACTAAAGAAACAAAAACAACAACTGTTGACATTTCAACCTTACTTCTCCTTTTAGTGGATAAAATGGAATATTATAAAATTTAACATACAGAATAACTCAATTCTGAAGACACATTCAGGTTACATACAATATACCAGTATTTATAAATATGATTAACAAATAACCTTACAGAGAATAAGAAAACAAGATAGAATCCTCTGTGTTAAGGTACAACAGATTGTTGGGATCAAGAGCTACGAGGAAGAACGAGATGAAAATCGCAACAATGAAGATGAAGAACCATAAAGAAAAAGAAATGAAGTCGTAAGAAAACCTAGAAAACAAGGGTCGAGATGCTCTGATACCGTAGGAAAAGAAATTTCACCCACCAAATTTGACAATGATATATATGTTTCAATACATACTTAGAAATAGTTGTGTGCAACGGTGTGGTTCGCCCCAGATCAAACAAACATTTGGATTGACTCAAAAAGTGGACCAAATATAATACATTTTGGGTTTTAGTTTCGTAAATTTTCTGAATATTGAAGAAATAATTGACCAAATTGATAGTTGGACAGAATCAAACCGAACAAAATGTACAAATCCTATTCTAGTTTCTAAATTTATCGTGGACTGATCACCGCACCTTTGCACACCCCTAATTAGAGGGGTTGATCTTTGGTATGTTGTTGTGATATTTTATTTGTAGGAAATTTTATACACGATCGATACAACAAAGTGGCGACATTTAAAAAAAAATCATACTAGTGAGAGGATGCTTTCAATAGAACCTTGGATGAAGGGTGAACATTACCCCTAAGCCTTCTCTCAGATGTGTGTAAAACCTTCAACCAATTAACCAAATCATTTAAGTGTTGATTATGGTTATTTTGGGTTTTCTATTTTCGTTTTAAGGATGGTTTCTTAAGCTAACTTCGTCATTCCAATTTAGTATTTTTCCCAACCAATAGTTTGAAATTTTATGTTTTTTTTTATTATTACAACGACCTAACATTATTTAAAATAATCAAAATCACTAAACATGGAATTATTCTAAAATTTTCTATGATGTTATGCTCAAAACAAATTAGTATACTATGAAAAAATATCATTAATTTTAACATGTAATATGTTTTTTCCAATATTTCATACCTTGAAATGAATGTATGCCGGATCCCCAATAATCTACATAACTCCATCCTTGTTACTTGTTAGGTTGCACTATGATGACCATGTGAACACCCTAGTATGTATTGTATCATAGCTCAATTATAAGATTATTTGTTCACAAAAATGGCATTATAATTTATAGTAACTAGAGTTAATTAAACGGATTAATGATGAATTAAAGAAAATATTCTAAGGACCATAAAATTAAAATAATTTTAAGTATGCACTTGAAATGGATTCACACCCACTTGATGGGTGGTTTTAAAAAAGAATGAATAAGTATTTTCAGTTTATAGTTTTATTATCGTGATGCCATCCAATAATTTGATGATTCTATGTTATATCATTATATTACACTAATGCTACTAACTAAAATATAAAAATTCAATTCCTTATTTGAGAAGGCAATATTTACGAGGACAAAAACAAGTTTTGTCGGTTTGTCTATATTCTGCAAAGATTCTTATGCTATGATACACTTGTGAATTGCAGGATTTTTCAGTAGATATCTTGGTCGCAGTTAACTTTTAACTTGATCTGACCTCAAAGCAATAAAATTCATCGGTAGATATCTTGGTCGCAGTTATTTTCTCAGTAATGGCTAATGACCTAATTACAATTAAGCACCTGTTAGCTAGACAATTAGTACACAGCCCAAGACGCTTTCACGCTCCAATTCTATATTATCATCGAGATTCCGCGAACAGTCAAACACACATAAACATAGCTGATTAATTACTGTAATTAGTAGTAGTACACAGCCCAATGCACATTCACGTAATTGTCATTGAGATTCGACGAATACGCATTGTTAGTATATAAAACTTATTTCGTTAAATAATAACGGAAGTGTACTACAAGTCTACAACACTTCTGCGATGGGTTGTCGTCGTCTAAAAAAATCATATTTTTCCTTAGTGTTGATTGAAGTATATAATCGCCATTCTGATCAGAAGGCGATTCTGTTACTATTTATGAAGTTATAATTCTCATTCTGCAATGGATTTTCGTCATCTAAAATATCGTGTTACTATTTATGAAATTATAATGGCCATTCTGAAAAGGAAATTCGTGTTAAAATGACATCAATCTTCGCTTTCAATATGACGAACAAGAAAATTCACAATATCACAAAATCATTGGAGATTTACTTTTGGTTGAAAATTTTAGGGTTGGGGTTTGGTTTTTAGAATTCCGAGGTATCTAACACGGGTAGCTTAACCTTTTGGGGAATCCTGTTTTTTTTTTTTTTTTTTTTGAGAGAAATGGTTTATTTTAATAGGTTTGAGTTACTAAAAATATACAAATAGTAAAACTGCATGCTCTGCTCTGCAGGATTCCATGTTGAGGAATCTATATATACACACTCAATTCCAAGATGAAACTGTTCTTATTTGAGAAAGCAATATTTATGAATTACGAAAAAGTTTTGTCGGGTTTTCTATATCTGCAAAGATTCTCAAACTCTATGATACACTTGTGAATTATATTGCAGATTTTTGCGTAGAGATATCTTGGTCGCAGTTAACTTTTAACTTAATCTGACCTCAAAGCAATAAACTTCATCAGCAGACATCTTGGTCGCAGTTAATTTCTCACTGACCATTGCCAATGGCATAATTAGTAATTAAGCACCTGTTAGCTAGACATTTAGTACACAGCCCAATACGCTTTCACGCTCCAATTATTATCGAGATTCCACAAACACACGTACACATGGCTAATTAATTACTGTAATTAGCACACACAACCCAATACGCTTTCACGTAATTATCATCGAGATTCGACGAATACGTACGCGTTGGTTAGTATATAAAACTTATTTTGTTAAATAATAACAAAAGTACTTTAGGATAAATTAAGATTAACGACAATTATCCTGAAGGGAAGCACCATAATTAGTAAAGAAACTATATATCTATATATATCATTAGCCGCCTGACGAGTTATAATGAAATTTTTAGAGGATAGATACGATTCACATGCTGGGTGGGTGGATTATCACATAAACAAACAAAAACAAAAAAATCCACTTGGTGGGTGGATTGGATTGAATGGTTGAATCGAGAAAGTTTTGTATTTTACCAATAATAACATAGAAAACTAAGTACTATTTGTGGGGATAAAACTAAGACCATATTCAACGAAAAAAAAAAACTAAGACCACGGATAAGTAACCCTCTAATTAATAATTATATTACTTAAAAACCAAGGAAGTTGAGCAATGAGACAACCAAAGATTCCTACTATAAACGACAATGCATTTGTTTTAATACAGAAGTAGTAATTTTGATAACTTCAGGTCTTATAGAAATGGGTTAATACTACTACAATATTCTAACTATTTTCAATTGTGTTATATTTTATTCAGTATTTCATTTAATTATATCCCGTTGTATGATAGTTTTGTGTTATTTTTATTTTTATACTTTTGTTGACCGCTAGAAATAATAGTTGACCAGACGGAGAATTTCCTTTTCGAAGTTCTTGTAATGTTTTGCCATCATTAGCTAAGGTTGGACTTTTATTTAGATTATGATAAATCTACTCTATAGCTTCTAAGTCAAAACAAAAGAGGTAGCTAGTTGGGTATCTTCCAAGTATACCTCATCATATTCATGAATGTTATGTTCTTTTTTTTTTCAGCAATGCCATTTTGCTGAGGGGATGAGAGTATTTGTAAGCTGCCTCTTAATCGAATTCCTTCGCATACATGTTTGAACTCATTCCACATAAATTCTTCGCCCCCTATCAATTATATTCTAATATTCCTCATAAAATTTTCAGTTTCCTTATCTACTTGAGCTTTCTATTTTCTAAAACATGAAGAGCTCAAGCTTGGCTAACAAGAAAAATAATCATAATTTTCTACTGTAATTATAAGACGAGTTTATAATATACATTTTTTCTTCCATTAGACAATTGATGTGATTGGTCCACACAGATATGCATGCATGTAACTGTGATGTTGCATGATTTGAACCTAAGCTATAGTAATATATCTATTGGTTGTGCAACCCATGACACTCATTCTTGTAGTGTCCAAATTTGCAACGCTTGAAACACTCCAACTCCATGTATACCATGGCTATAGTTTACAAATAAACTTCGGTGCCACAATGAAATCTTAAGTCGTGAGCAAACTAACACTTCATTCCATAGATCAAAACATAAATACAAGATTTTTGTGCCAGCAAACTCTGGCAACAAACTCACAGCAATAACCCCTCATCTTTGTATATAAGCTACCACTACTAGTTGGCTCATCAAACCCAGCAGCAGCTAACTAAACACAGAAATGACTAGAAAAAAAAAAAACTTAAGCGATCGACCGAATGTAAAAGAAAAACCCCCAACACGACACAGTTTTGGATGACGACTTTCAAACTTCCTTCTTCTAGATAGGAATCGACTCGAGTAAGATGGAATTGATGTGATGTTTCAGAGACCCTGAGTGCGTATACGAGTCATTGCGAATGTATATGAAGGTGATGATTCGAACGAGATCCAGAAAGTGCTGAATCACAGGCAATCCAACTGGAGTCGGTTTCATGCACTCCTCATTCAAGTCCTTCCAGGCATCATCGCACATCTTCTTGATCGCCTCCACGGCCTCTTCGTCGGACACCCCGTTCTCCTTCTTGTAACATTCCACCGCGGATGGACAGTGCCCTCTCTTCTGCTCATCCTGCATTTTTCATATTGTACTAGTATTGTTAGCATGTAACGTGACATAAGATTTACTATTGAACTTCTCCAAATAATTCGCGTTATTGGGACGATATATTGTCGTTTGAGTACGTACCTCGTGACTCATGATGTCATTGAGAAGCCGCCCGAGGAGCTTTGCTGCTGTATCGATTGTTGGGTTGGTTTTCAGCCACTCGTATTCTTTGGCACCCATGGCTTCCCCCATTCCAATTAAGTATGCAGCTGAGATCACGCCGTATGAGCTTGAAGGTATGCCGTTTGCTATGAACTCTTTCACCGTCGGTGTGTAGCGACTCGCCAGCCATTTTGCTTCCACATCATATGCCCTCGCCAATTCCTTGAACTATATACATTAGGATTGAAATTTTAAGTTAACCAAACCAGAAAGATATGCGTAAAGTTGTCGGAGTACGATTAATCTTTGGATTTGAAATATAGCCAGATAAGCGCGGTACGAAAAACAAACTCGAATTATTATCGAAACCAGTTAATTTATCAGATCGATCGATCTTACAGCATCCTTGGCGTGGTGTGCTCCGTAGCTTCTCCCCTCTTTCTCTATGTCTTGTTCCATATCATCACAAAGTTTGAGGAATGCCCTAAAAAGGAGTCGCATGTCATCCGAAAGCTGCTCAACCGCACTCTCGTCGTCACACCTGGAAAAAAAAAGTTACCATGCATGCAAAACCCATATTGAATATGCATGTTATATGACTAAACAAGAGCTTGGTCTAATAACAGCATCACCAGTTTCGAATATCGAGATCCCAAATTCAAATCTCTTAATTAAGTACCACAAAAATGTAAACCTATATTCGCGACTTATCAAAAATAAGAATATGCATGACGTTGGATGGTAACCACCTCTCAAAAGCGTCAGCAAAGAGTTGGAGCTCCTCAGGGGTACCGTAGGCATCGAAAGTGTCGTCGACCAACGACACCATTTTGGCAAATTTGGTGGCTGCAATCCTCGACACCACCTTGTGTGGCTCGTAATGAGATCCCGTCGCCCAAAAATACAGCTCCACGATTCTGTCTCTTGCATAGAAAAGCCTCTCCTGAAGACCAGTGTCCCTCCACCACCTGGAAACGAAGGCCAGCTCGTTTTGGTGCATCAGCTGCACGAAGTTGAAGTCGAGCTTGGCGAATTTGAGAAGGGTTTCGTCTCTCGATTCTTCCTCGGCGTAGAAAGAGATGAATCTCCATGAATCTATCCTTCGAGCGCTCTTGTGGAAGGGGCAAATCAGTGCATTTTCTATGTGTGCTGCCAAATGAGGCTTTATAACACTGGTGGCCGAGTTATCTTCCAGCTGCAAAGTGGACCTTGAGAAGGCTAGGGCTTCCTCTAGAATGTTGTCTCCATGAAGCCTCAAGTGGGAGGCCTCGTACAGGCTGAGAATCCCTCTCACGTCGCCCTTCAGACATTGCTTGAACTCTCCTGTCTTTACGTCCTTGAATTTGTCAAACACATCTGTCCCATGCAAGGAAGTGGTTAAGATGTATACATAGGAGTTCTCTCAATAACTCGAATTATTGAAACTAGTTGATTTATCAGTTTATGACATGGTATCGGATCTTGTTTTTCAATGAGATCACGTGTTAAAATCCTCACGACCCCCAGTATTAGTTGTTGTCTTAAAGTCGTATATTATGACGGGCATGTGCAAAACTTCAAGTCCGTGTATTGGCTTTCGTTTGAGAATGTGTATCAGAAAATAGTTATTAGTTATCGAGACCAGTTTGATTTATGACAATGTTAGTGATTCCGCGTTAACTCGGGTTGATAGTCATTTAACTACTGTATAAACGAAATTTTAAGACAACCCAAATCATGTAGTTACTATGCACCTTTAGCAACCAGCAACATCGATCTTTTTGCGACCAATTCTGTCTGATGCGCTGTAGTTAGAGTTGGCTACTTACCACAAGGAACTCGGGTTGATAGTAATTTAGTTACTGTATAAACAAAATGTGCATACAACCAAATCATTTAGTTACTGTATATATATGTTTCCTTTAGCGACCAGCGACATCGATCTTTTGCCACCAAATTTAGTCAGTCTCGAGGTAATTAAGAGTTGGTTACTTACCACAAGGAACTCTGTATCCATGCTGGCGTAGCACTCGAAACGCCAGCGAAACGAAGTAGAGATCTCCATCTCTCTCCGTAACATCGGAGAGAGAATTTTCAAATATCAGGCTCAGCTGGTTTTCGATCTGAGCTTGAAAATGGTACGACACACCGAGCCGCTCCAGCAAGTTGATGAGCTCCACGTTTCGAAACGTACCGCCGTCGGCTGCCGAAGCCGCCGCCAGCAACTTCTCCACCTTCGCCTTCGCCTGCTCCACCTGCCGCCGGTAGAATTCCATTTCCTGCATGCCCGATCAAACATTACATCATCATCATATGTCATTAAATCATATCAATATAGTTACATGCATGCATGCATGCAGCAACGTAATATGCTGCCGGCCGGCGATATCTTAATCTTACCGTGGGAGATGAAGCAAGCGAAGCAAATCTGGAACCCCACACAGAGGGAGAGAAGTTTGCTAGTGGACGAGAGATTATCGTCGGCTCCATGGTGTTGCCGCCGGTGCTTGACTCGGCCGCCGACAACTCTTTCTTCAGCATTGCCATGAATTGTTATTTTCAATGACGGCTGAGAATGCAAATTAATCAGGAGATCAATGGGCAGTTTTTTTTTCCTGTTCAGTTTGTTTATCTAGGGTTTTTTTTGGATGATGGCTACTAGTTAGTCCCAGTTAATGATGGCTTAAATAAGCGAAACTGTACACTTCAGAGTTTAGACAACCTTTATCCTTTAATCTCTAAATATAATGTCCACTAGTGCCAATTGAATCATCTTGAGAATATAACACGTATGTGTAGTTATGGTCCCAACACTAATAGGAACCAATAAACTAATTGAATAATTAGAGCTTTTGGTAAGTATGCTGACCTATTTTCTAATCTTTGTGTGAATGGTAAAAGCTAAGTGGAAAACACTAACAAGATATATAGTTATTTACTTTGCTAGCAATCTAGGTTGAACTCATCAGTGAGTGGGTGATTCACGTTTGGTTTGTATGTGGGATGGGGCGACTAGTAGTCGGTCGCATTCGGCTGGTGGGATGGTTATCCTAGCTCCGGGGCAGACAATACTTCTGGCAAAGGGGTTCAGTTTTCGCATATGGATGAGCCTGCTGTGGTGGAGTTGCTGGTGCTTCGGGAGGCTATTATTTGGTGTTTGGAGTATGGCTTGTCGGAGGTCCGGTTTGAGGGTGATGTCAAGGTGATTATTGATAAAATTAATCAAGCCGACACAAGGGACAACCGGTTGGGTGCTGTGCAGGAGGAGATAGGTCATTATTTTCGCGCTCAGCCTGGGTTTAGTGTGCGATTTGTAGGTCGGGAGAACAATAGGGTAGCTCATTCGGTAGCTAGAAAAGCCCTCTCTTTGTATCCGACTATGTGTCGCTCCTTTGATTTCCGGGCCTGGCTGGTTTCAAGGATGTAACTATCTTTTTAATGATCAATATATGATATCTTTTGACAAAAAAAAAATCTAGGTCGAACTCACCTGTTATGATTGATAACGTTATGTCGTACGTGATATGATGATACGATCGGAGAGTTTTGCAGGTCGGGTTTTATACCGAAATCCAAGTCCTAAATTATGTCTGTCTTTAAATTACTCTAAATGATGTATGTCACTAGCTAGGAGTATCCAAACTGAAAAAAAAATCCAAAATTTGAATTAACCGAATTTTTATAATGCTCCCATAATTTTGCAGAATTTTGCAGGCTTGAGTTTTGTACTGCTCCCATAATCCCTCACAACAAGAGTTGTAATTTGTAAGTATCATTTCGTTAGTCACTGTAAATTTTAGTGGTCGAATTTCACAACAAACAAAGTTTAGTAACGAAATTTGGAGAAACCCACAAATTTTAGTGACCGTTTGTGTAATTGACCGTAAGAATTCGCCTACTCCATCACATTCTCACCGTCCCCGACCCTCTGTGTCTTTTAAGAGCTGGACGGCCGGAGAGAGGAGATTCTCATTGCTGAAGCTGAATCGGCGATCGGAGGTTATTTTAGACGGCCATCGGAGGCTTTGTGTCAAATCCAATCAGGGAATTCCCAGTTTCCTCTGCTCGCAGAATCGTCCTCCCCTGAATCAACTCTCAATTTCAATTCTAGGGTTTCCTCGCTTCGTTAATTGCTGTATTTGCTAGCTACCGATCGAGCGAGGCCGCTCGCAACCTCCTTCTTTTCCACCGCCGCCTTCCTGCTGGTTTTTATCCGCCATCACCGTCCTCCAGGTTGCTCGGAGGCCTGGTTAGTCACAGTGAATTTCTTTGTTCGTGGTTTTTTTTCTGCGTTCTTTAGCGTAACTGATCAGTAGAAGGTGAAAAAGATGTCTGGGAGAAACCGTGGGCCGCCTCTTCCAATGAACGGCTTGCCGCCGATGGCCGAACATCGTTTCGGAAGAGGCCCGGGTTCAATGCCACCGCACCCTGCCTTGCTGGATGAGATGAGGGAATCCCAGTTTGGTTTAGACCCTCGGCGGCTACCCCCTCATCATCATCATCCTGCTGTTATTGAGGAGAATCTGGCTGCTCAGTACCAAGAGATTCAAGTTTTGTTGGGTGATAACCAGCGGCTGGCTGCAACTCATGTTGCATTGAAGCAGGAGCTGGAGGCCACGCAGCACGAGTTGCAACGGATGGCCCAGTTTGCCGATTCGTTGCATCCGGATAAAGATATTCAGATGAGGGAGGTGCACGAGAAGTCTGTGAAATTGGAGTCGGATCTTCGTGGGTTGGAGTCGATGAGGAACGAGCTCCATCGTGTTCGTGGTGATGTCAAGGAGCTTACTGATGCGAAGCAAGAACTTACCGGTAGGGTGCAAATGATGACTCAAGACTTGGCTCGTTATAATGCGGACTTGAAGCAGGTGCCTGGTATGAAGGCTGAAATTCAGAGTATGAAGCAGGACTTGCAGCGTGCACGGTACAAGTTTGAGCGATCTTTGTTTTGTTGTATGGATAGAAGAATATAAGCTGTTTTGGCATGGTAACTTAATGGTTATTTATTGTTGATTTTGGTAAATATGTAGAGCTGCAATTGATTATGAGAAGAAAGGATATGCAGAGAATTTCGAGCACGGACAGGTGATGGAGAAGAAATTGGTTTCAATGGCTCGAGAGTTGGAGAAGCTTCGTGCAGAGATAGCTAATGCAGAGAAACGATCACGCTCTTTGCCTCACGCAGGGCATCAAGGTATGCAAGCTTATTTAGTTTAAGTTCAAGCTTTTTTGTTTGATATATTGGATACGTTATTTACTTGACAAAGGCTCTTACTGTTCCAAGCTTAAATCTTTGAGGAGCTCACCTATCTAAATTCATTCTTGTTTGTCCAATTGCAGCTTATAATCCAAACTATAGCAATCCGGAAGCCGCATATGCTGGAAATCCTTATCCTGCTGGCTATGGAATGAACCCAGTAAGTCTTGAATCTATAGCTTTGCTGCTGTTAGCTGTGAAGAACAACACACTGTTTGATTCTCTTTATGCATCCTATTCGATCCACAGCATATATATGTATGCTATTATTTTTCATTCTCTTTTTCCTTTTCAAATGAATATGATACCACCTGCAACCCACTTAAATCCAGGTGCAGCAGCATGCCGAAAGTTTTTCACAGTATGGCGTGGTCCCAGGTTCATGGGGAGGTGCATACGATATGCGGTCTCAAGGGAGATAGGCAGCTAATATGTCCTGCTAAGATGTTATGAATGAAATCTCACGCTCTGCAACTTCTTAGATATCTGTTCCAGCTCTGGCGCAATCTTTCCGTAGGTTATGCCAAAAGAAGATGAAGCTCTTCATAATGACTGCACATGCCGTCAAGGAAACCGCAAGAGAAGGGAGTTTGTTTGTTGCAAACTGGTGGTTATGATGGAAGGGTTCCTCGGACAATTCAAGGAATTCAGTAAAAGCCTTCTTGGAATACACTAAGTTGAAAGTGTGAATTGTGATAGTGGATCTGGTTTGAAGCAATTGCTTTTATGTGTTTGGAGAAGAAATTGCTTTTGTTTTCGCTAATGTTGATTAAATCTGCTTCTTTTGAGTGTTTGTATTGCAGTACTGGTAACTTGTACCAGTTAAATCGTTACTAATGACCAGTTTGTATATCGTTTATGACAATTTTACTCATAATAATTACCTTGAATGATCAGCAAGCCTCGACAAGTTCGATCTTTGATACAGTTTTGTAAACATTGCAATGAAAGGTCAAGGATGTTTAATCTTGACAACGTATTCATCAAGAATGTAGATTAGAAAGTAAACATTCTACTACAAAATCAACCTCTGAAATTGTAAACAAGGGAATGGCCAATATGCCAAGAATCAGGAAATGGAGTTTAGGCAGCGCATCAAGGTATCCGTTTGCTCAGGTTTTCCAACAGATATCCGAATAAATCCCTTCAGTTCTTTCTTGTCATAGTGTCGTACCATCACACCCATGTTTGCCAGAGCTTCCTGCAACCAACCCCCATAATAAACGATCTCAGCATAACAAAATTCCCAATCAATAAACCATGAGTAGCTCACTAGTCTATGGAGTTGGTACCAATCTGGTCACCGAACTTGTCAATACGTATCACGCTTGGCATCAAAATCAAGTTTGAGACAGCGATAGCACCAGAGTCGTCCTAATAAATCACCATCGTCATTTTAGACAGCAATGCTAACTGAACTCTTGCCTATGTGTATGACATTCAGCACTGAACTTGGTATTAAGACCCAGCTCATCCTAGTACATTACCATTGGCATTCGAGTTATCTTAGTAGATTTTTGCTATTATGTTGCTACCATGTTGCTAAGTTTCGGTTAACTGACCAATTAAAGGGCAGAGCCTAATACAGGGGTAAGACAGGGGAACATAAATACTACAGGAGAGGGCAAAAATGGTGCTTTAATTGCCTCAATAACGAGACTAGTGCACAATGTGATACATACACTTGAGTTCGATGACCAAATTAGTATTCACCCCTTAGTTGCCTAATGAGTAATGACTATCAGCTGCAAGATCTGAGCATATCTATGTAGATTACAGATAACAGATAGATTTCCTTACCTTCAGCTTCTTAGCATCCATTCCGGGTTTAACTTCACAAAGAATGAAATTTGAATAGCTTGGGAATGGGCTCAGAAAGGGTACTTCCTCCAGAAGTTGATAAAGCCTCTTCCTTTCTTGTACCAATGCATCTTTTACCATCTGCATGAATTGGGCCCATTAGCATCCCATGTATAACAAAATATGGATTATATATCCTGCAGAATGAATCGTCAATTCAACCTCCAGGTAACAAGGATTCTCCAATGCTGCACAAGCAGCAACTTCAGCAGCAACAGAAACGTTGTACGGCTGCTTAGCTCTCCAGAGATACTGAATAATACCGCTTGGAAATGCTCCATACCCAACACGTAGTCCAGCTAAACCTGCAACATATTTTTAGAATCAGAAGTTTTATAAAGCTCTTCAAAAGGAATGCCCAAACCATAGTGCACAGAGCGAGGAACCACCAATTCATACCTGCTCTTTTGCTAAATGTTCGTAGAACAATCAAGTTTTCGTGCTCCTTCACCCACTTCATCTTTGATTCTAGACCTGAAAACTCAATGTACGCTTCATCCAGCACCACCAGAAGAGGGAGCTCAAGGATTTTCAATAGGTCTTCATCATTGATTATACTGCCGCATCATAGTTATCATTCGAGATGAGAAGGAAAATCTAAGAGCAAGGATAACTGGAAGACCAGAGAACCAATGATAAATTACCTCCCATCTGGATTGTTTGGTGATGTCAAAAATATGCATTTCGGTTTCTCCCGTCTAACAGCATCACATATGAGTTCCACATTTAAGCTAAAGTCCGGCTTCCTTGGGACTAACAATTGAATGAAAAAAAGATCCATCGATGTTACCATCAACAAAAGCCAAGAAGAAAATCATCTTCTTGATATAACAACTAAAAGGTCAACAATCAGCCACTCATTGTTCAGAAGACAATCTATATTCAAGTAGAAGTCCTAAAGAAATGAAAAAGTACCCTTAATTACTTGTGCCCCATTAACAGAAGCATCAAACTCATACATTGTAAAGGTCGGAGGACAATCAACAATCTTGTCACCAGGATCCAATGTGCAGCTGCCAAAAACATACGTGCATAAGATACCAACAAAACATAGCATTTGGTCACCAAACGTACCAAATAAGACTTCATGCAAAGAGTAATGATAGATCGTTACCGCATAATAAGATCAATCAGCTCATCTGCACCACACCCTGCAAGAATGTAGTCAGCCTCAAGGCCAGAATCTTTGGCAAGGGCCTCACGAAGTCGACGAGTTTCAGGATCAGGATATATGTAAGGAAATTTCAAAGACCCCAAAGCTTTCATCACCTATAGAACAGTGAAACGGGCCAGGTTTAGAGTCAGTATCGCAAATATAAAATCACGAAGACAACTCTTGCAGGCCTAGATGAATGATAAACAACACTTGCCTCTGGAGGCGGACCATATGGATTTTCATTTGCGTCTAATTTTACAATATCCTCCGGCTTCCTTCCCAAACGAGCAGACAAAACCTGTTATAAACAAAGAAGATGACCTTAATCACAAAATATCAGAATGCCTGCATACATAACTAAAGCTTTGCATATATCGAAGAGCGACCCTTTGTCATATATACTCATGAGATGCATGATAAGCCAACAAATTTAGGACAAAAGATGCAATCTGACAATGAAATTTCACCAAAATTTGAACAGAAATGAAGCCCAAATGGTTTGTCAAGAACATATAAGCAGCAAATAGTGCCAACAATACTACTAGAGGTTGCAGCAAAGGAGTACCTCAAATGGTAAAATGGGCTGATAAGGAGACAATTTTTTCAAGTGCGATCGAATAAATGACTCTCCAGTTACCCTCTGCTTGTCCTCATTCACATTCTCTGCAGGTATGGTGGAGGCAGCCATGGCGACACTTCTGGTGAGCCGATGATTCTTCAGTTGAAACACAGAAGACGTGTTTGAAGGAACAAAAACTTGGTAAGGATTGGTCTTAGGGGTGATCAGGCTGAAAGATGGCAACTTTGAAACACCCATAACATCCATTATACCTGCTGAGCACATAACATAAGTTTTTGAGCCGATAGGAACAAAATTGAAGAACAATTAAACAACTGGAGCAGAGCATTTCAAAATTGCCAAGAGACCAACATGAATAAATTTCACCGTGGAAGACAACACCAACTGTTCATATAGCTGTACGACGAACAGCATAAGCAAACGGATTATCGACTCAGAGACGAAGAAACGGAACCGACGGCAATTAAAAAGAGAAAAAAAGACTAATTAGGACAGTCTCACCGGCGAGAAAGTGAAATGGAGGAGGAAGGGAAAGGGGAAGTACCTGGAGTGGGAAATGGGGAAGGGTGTCAAATGGCGGAGCTTCGGCGGCGGCCAAGTCAGCTTCTGTGGTGGCGCGCGGACGAGCTTGGCCTAGGGAACGAAGGGAGAGAGTAGGGCTTGTTATTTCTGCAGAGAAGGAAATGGTAAAGTGCGAAACTTTTTGCCAGCCCCACGAGTTCGAATCCTCGACCCTCTTCTTTCTTACCAATTTTACGAATATTCGTCCAATGACTTGCCCAAAAACATTGATTAACATATCATTTTGTTACCATTTCACTCATATTCTCACATTTATGTTAGCAATAGCACATTTTATTTTTTATGCTGGAATTGTGATTTAATCGTGTTGAAACAGTTTCATACTACTAAAAATTGTTTCACGTTCGCTAGTTTATTTGATTACTCATTTGCTCTCCTTGAACTTAAACAGTCACTCCCTGTCCCTGCCCAGTTGCCTTTCTCCAAAACCAGCACATAAACTTTAGCTGAGCAAGTCAAGAGTGAACCTAAAGCTTCCACCTTTACGAAGGGGTCGTTAAAAGAATAGCGCTGCAAAAAGGAACTGGACTGACAGGCATAGACGCCCAAGTAAATAGCGAAGCAGAACGGGGGGAAATGCAGTCTACACTTGCCTTTTCGTCCTCCAAAAACATAGGATTCAAGCCACACGCAGCAACTACATTTGATCGGTGCATTCCACCATCTGCAACGACAATCTCACATCAACTCTTCACAGACTCGTCTGTTAGCTCTCTGCCCTTCTCGCTTAAATCCGATTCCCGGCCAAAGCTGCTTCACCCAGCAAGCAATAAGCTCAAGCTTCGCCAATCGTCGAAGAATTCAACGGTTGCCCGCTGCGGCATTTCATCGAACAGTTCGGGAGCAAATGAGGGAAGCAGTTTCAGAGGGTTGGTTGAGGCTGCCTCTGAGGCGATTTCGACGGCATTTCCGGTATGGGTATCGTTGGGTTGCTTGATGGGACTCCTAAAGCCGGCTTCTTTTGGTTGGATTACCCCCAAATGGACCATCTTTGGGCTTACCCTCACTATGCTTGGTATGGGTATGACGCTTACCCTGGATGATCTCAGCAATGCTATGGCCATGCCAAAACAGTTGTTTGCTGGGTTCCTGCTCCAGTATTCGGTTTGTCTTGCTCCCTTGTGCTGCTAAATGCTATGCTCACCCTTTAATTTTGTTGAGTTCATTTCTGAATTGAAAGGAAATTGTCACCCTGCCTGCATAATTCAAAAGTCTGTTGAGAAATGAATGAATATAGAGGAACTGATACACTTTTAGAGTAGCAACAATAAGGTTTGTGCTGGCATCTGAGGTTTTGAAGAATTTGATTGGTCAGATAGAAGAGTTTAGAGCCTGGACATCAAAGCAATTCCATGTCTTTTTATTTCACTTCACTTGTCAGGTTGAAATATTACTCCACAGATGAATAAATATTAGTTCACTAATGAAACTTGCATTCCTATGAAGCGTAGGCAATGCAACTTTTTGCAGCTTTTAACTTATGAACTTATGTGCTGAAAGAGCAAGAAACATACTGGTTGCAGGTGATGCCATTATCAGCATTTCTTGTGAGCAAGATCTTAAATCTGCCATCCCATTATGCTGCTGGACTAATATTGGTTGGCTGCTGTCCTGGTGGTGCGTGTAACTTTATGTCTTTGTGGAAACAAGTCAGATTTCCTGTTTGTTCGTTGTCTACAGGGTGATAGTTCTTGAATTCTTCAATGTTTACAGGGACAGCAAGTAATATTGTTACCTACATGGCACGGTACGTGCTTCTGCTTCTCTCTGTGCCTTCTGTTTTCCTACACTTTTGGTTGTTTATAATGTTCCTGCATCCATAAACTGGGATAATGTTGTTATCATCTAGCGGGAATGTGGCACTTTCAGTAATGATGACAGCGGCAAGCACTTTTACAGCTGTGGTTGGTACTCGAAATCACTTCCATCGATCTCACTGCAATTTGTGTTTGATTTCCCTTCTCTCTTTTCAGTTCAAGGATCAGAAATTATGCTTTTCATTTCCTTGAATCATGAGTTCTAGCTAGGGACTTCTTTTCAACTTTTGAATATCTGTAGACTTATAGGATACATTTGAATCGTCACTACAATCAAAGAAAGTTTATAATTACAAACTTCATCAAAGTTCCAAATATCAAGTTGTTAGCTAACTGCTGCAAACTTTGAGGTAAAATCCGTCTCCAGGGTTGTTTGAGCAATGGATCGAGACTGATGTTTCTACAGTGTCGAACAGAAGCATTTGTCTTTGGTATAATTTATTTGAAAATAATCTCACTTCCCTAAAATTGCAGGTAATGACACCATTTTTAACAGCAAAACTAGCTGGCCAATATGTTGCAGTGGACGCAGCAGGATTGCTAACATCAACCATGCAGGTGAGCGTTATTTGTCCTGATTCAGTTAAACTACGGTAAACATTTATTAGTTAGCAATTTAATTTCTTTTTCTTGATTGTTAATCTGTAGTTTGTGCCATAAAATGCAGGTTGTCCTTCTTCCTGTACTGGCTGGCGCCTTTCTAAATCAATATTTTCAAAGCCTGGTGAAGTTAGTCTCTCCTTTGATGCCACCTATTGCTGTGGGGACTGTTGCTCTTCTCTGTGGAAATGCAATTGCCCACAGCTCTTCTGCAATAATGATGTCAGGCAAACAAGTGGTGCTAGCGGCATCTCTTCTTCATGCATCTGGCTTTTTCTTTGGGTTTGTACTTTCTAGGATCCTTGGAATTGACACGGCATCAGCAAGAACCATTTCAATTGAAGTTGGCATGCAGGTAAAAAAAAGTAATTAGTCCCCTGCTCATATCCTAAAATATATCTCAACCCCTCAAAAGACAGCTGGAGACAGTATTTTCTTTGCTGAAAGCAGTACTGATTTCTGGTGGCAAGTCATTTGATCCTTGTGAGGGCTAAGTTTATAACAGCAACACTGTTGATTCTTTTGCTTGTTCTGCCTTGATGGCATGTGGAACTGTAGGACAACTGAGTTTCGTTTTGAATTCCCTTTAGTTGGGATGTTATGCATCTATACTCTGTATTATCATACGAACTTGTCAGCATGGTTTCTATTAAGCTGGCCTGTTACGGTTTCCAACTCTTGTTCGGTATCCCATTTTGCTCATGATATCGAGAGGATAGTACTTGCTCATCTTTGTTTTCAATCTTTTGGTGTGTCTGCAGAACTCAGTGCTAGGAGTGGTTCTTGCAACTCAGCACTTTGGCAATCCACTCACTGCAGTACCTTGCGCAGTCTCCAGTGTTTGCCATTCCATCCTTGGCAGTGTCCTTGCCGGATTCTGGAGACGAGATGTGCCATCACAGGACCAGGATTAATGTAAAAAAGCTTTCATCTTCCGAAGTCAAGCTTGATCCATATGCTCAGCAATCTTTGGTTACAATGTCAAAGTCACAATCTTTGCTGGTTTTGCTTCAGTGATCTGCTAGTGCTTTTTGTGTGGTAGTTTATCAGGTATTTCATTTTGTTGCCCTAGATACCATTCCAGACAGCACCAGAAATCCAGTAAATGCACTCAATGCATGCCATTGCCAGTCCTTTTACAGTTTTACAATCAAGGAAAGAACAAATTCTGGCAACTTCAATAATCTTGATGTCATGTAAAGGAAATGTAGGGACTGAATTGTAAGTAAACCAAAAACTTGTAGTCCCTGCGTAATTTCGCACCACATGGCCAGATCTTCAAAAATTCCCGCCGGCACTTGAAAATAAGTAAATCTGGCGCGAAAAGAAGAAAACCATAAAACCGCAATTTCATGATTCCCACCATATTTCAGTTTCTCAGATTACTGCCTCAATCTCTCGCCCCCAAAAACCATTTTCAGTTCGAGATTTGAGAGCCCATTTCGAATTTGTTCCCTCCACCGCCAATTTTGAAATTTCCCCCACTCCCAAAATCGAAATAACTTGTAATCTTGCATATCATTCAGAGCGAAATCAAAACCCTAATCAAATCAGCTACTCTCTGTTTCTTCCCTTCTCAACCTCACCAGATAAAGTACAGAGCAACTGAGGAACAATAGAAATGGCTACCCAGTTTCAAACTTTGCCTCCTCTCAAACGGTTCAGGCTCATGCAACAGCAGCAGGAAGATGAAGAAAACAAAGAAAACATCCCCCCGCCGTCAATGCCTTCTTCCTCTTCTCCGCAGCTCCTTCCGGCCAAGAAGCGAATTGAATCTCGGAAACCGCCGCTTCAACCTCTTTCTCCTCCCCGTCCTGCAGCTGCGGCGGCGGTCGCTTATTCTCTGCCTACCAAGAAAAGGGTTTGGGCGTTTCAGCCTCCAGATCTCAACGACGACGAGTGTTCAGTTAAGGCGCCTCCGCCGCCACCATTTTTGCCTCTCGATTTGAATGTTAAGTACGACCCTCGTTCTGATTACGAAGAAGGTCATAATCATAACAGGAATGAGAAGAAGAGACAGGAGGAAAATCATAAGATCCCACTCTTAAGGTATGTTGAATCTGAAAGAATCAAGCTCTTAATACTCTTGTTTTATCAATTAAAGCTAAAATCTCAATGCTGATATACATTTCCCACTTCCAATTACTAGCTTAAAATCGACTGAATCCACCCAAGCCGATGGGGAAAATGAAATTAGCCAAATTGTCAGTGAAGAAGAAGATGAAGATGGGATCCTCTGCGCTGTCTGCGGCAGCACTGACGGAGACCCATCAGATCCAATCGTATTTTGCGACGGCTGCGATCTAACGGTCCACGCGACATGCTACGGTGCGCCATTGATCGATGGCGTGCCTGAAGGCGACTGGTTCTGTGCAGAGTGCTCTGTTCCCGATGGGACCACGAAAAACCGGCCTTCGCTGTCTTGTTCCCTCTGCCCCAATCAGGGCGGCGGGTTGAAGCCAACGAAAAAGGACGGAGTGTGGGCGCACATCGTGTGCGCGCTTCTGATCCCCGAGGTGTTCTTCGAGGACCCGGATGGCCGAGAAGGGATCGATTGCTCGAAAGTTCCCAAGAGAAGGTGGAGGGAGAAGTGCTATGTTTGTAAGAGCAGGGGAGGGTGTGTTATGGAGTGCTCTGAGATGAATTGCCCCCTAGCTTTCCATATTACTTGTGGGTTGAAGGAGGAGTTGTGTATTGAGTATAGAGATGGAGGTAGTAAGAGGAAGGAAGCCATTGTTGCAGGGTTCTGCAGAACCCACACTGATCTTTGGGAAAAGGTACGATCTTTATGTGAAGAAATCAAATGGGTTGGGATTGTTATGGTTATGGTTGTTTCTAGCTGCCGTTGTTGGAGCTCAAAGTTCCTTCTTTTTGTTTTGTTATTTTGTGATTTTGCAGCAACAGGGAACAGGGAAGTACAAGATTGTGGCCAGAGAGGGGTAGCAAGGAAAGCAAGTAGGCGCCATGGATGGTTAATAGTTTTTTAGTTTGTGTTAGTCCTTTTCTTCGTTAGAGTTGGTGTTTCCTATCGCTAAGTTGCGCTCAAGGTTCGAATTCAGTGTATGCATTTGATTTTGTTTCTTCATCTTGCGTATTACTTTTGTTGTAGATCCAGAAGAGTTGACATATTTCTGGTTTTGGTGGGAATGAAATCGACTTTTGTTGACATGAGAAAGGTTTCAATAGGCACCTTTGGAATTTGGATTGCAACGCATCATCCGGTTTCTGGTTATGGCTAATCCGACAAAGTGTTATTCATTTCGGTTTTTGACTTCTGATTGATAGTTTTGCCGTTATTGGTTAATCGATTCGGACTACTCAACCAAACCAAATCGATTTAACACCCCCTACCTAACCAAACTGCGTAACAGTTCACAACCTTTGGACTACACAAGGAAAATTTGTATTGTTGTAACTTGTAAGAAATAAACAATTAACAAGATGAAGATCCACAAGAAACTTGAACTTAGATTGTTTAGTACAAGAAACGAATTAAGGAATATAGGTGTCATGCATTCCCTGGGTTGAACCTGCACCAGATCAGATGGATCTTTTCCTCATGTAATACAGCTCCTAAGCTACCTACTTAGTTTAATCATTAATTAAGAAACATTGTTTACTAATCACAAATTCCTGTCCTGCCATTTGTCTCATGCCAAGACGGTTCTCAACTATATTAATTAGGAGTGGACACAATCTGGTCCGGCCCGGTTCATATATGAATTAACCCGGCCTGATTCAGTCGAAGAAGATCGAGATAACTCGAATAAGATCGTAACACAATTGGTTATACTTCGATTAATCTGTCCGTTTGAGAATCCACCAAGGAATAGACAGCGATCAATCAAGCAAAGTATTGGATTTTTTTTAGATCATCGAAAACACGAATTGGATCGGTTCGTTCTGATGTGTTTCTGTATGGAGATCAAACCGTGAGCCGACCGTTAAAAAAAACCATTGACTACTTAATTAACCACACGTAATCGCACGTCTAGTTGATCAAAGGCATCTTCTTCCCCCTTAATCACTCCTCTATTGACTTTCATATAAAAGCGTTCCATCTCTAGCTGAGATCCTCGAAATTAACCAGCTGCAGAAACCATTTTCTCAAAAATGGTCGCCGCCGCCGGCGTGGCCGAAGCTCCGACGAGTTTCAACTTGAGAAACAGCCCACTACCGTCGAATCCAAAGTACAGATTCTTCCTCCTCCTCCTCCTCTTGCTCTTCTTCTCCTCGTGGTCAATTCTCATACGATCACTTGGTCGACCATGTGTCAACCGACGTCGTACCTTCGTCGCAAAGACCAATGTCGTCGCCGTTACTACTACTGATGATCATAGTCACGGCCGTGGAATCGATGGTGGTGTTATGAATATTTATGACAAGGTCGGTGACCCAAAACCAACCGGCCGGTGCCACGTCAGGAACATGTCGGTGTACGTCTACGATCTGCCGTCCAAGTTCAACTCCGACCTTCTTCGAAATTGCACCCGCTTGAACAGGTAACGCTAATTAACTAGTCTTTGGAAACATGGTTGTCATGTCGGTAGTATGATGGCCTGTTGAACCTGGTTGAATCGGTACCGGTCATAAAATCGACGTGAATGTCACTAGTATGAGTGATTTATGATCTTTAAGCAAAATAACGTAGTTTTAGTGAATATAATTAATCAATTATTTATTTTATTGAGTTGGAAAGTTCAATATTGATGTTATTTATTAGATTCATTTATATAAACGTTTAGGTATTGACGTTAAATGTTGTATTTAAATATGAGTATTTGTTATTTTATTTAGAATATTGTGTTTATTTTAATATGAACATGGATTGAAAGTAAATTTTTTTAATATATATGATTAAATTCATTTGATGTTAATGATTTTTTCAAGTTTTTTCACATTTTGTCAAATCGGCATGAACCTAAACAAAACGTTTGTATCAACAGTCGAGCTATTCTACTTATTGAACCGGCATAACGATATAAATCAGTTTGACAACCTTGCTTGCAAAAATGAACTAAGACATTCATCATTGATCTCCATTAATATAGCGGAAAAGGTTTGGTTGCCTATAAAGAGTCACAACACCTAATTTACGCACTTTTCATCCGTTCGTGTTAATTATCGTTTACGATTTTTCATACAACTCGATACTTATTCACATAAGAATTATGATTATTTGGTTCATTAACAGGTACCGGAACTTGTGTCCCGATGTGGTAAACCACGGCCTAGGCCAACCACTCTCCGTCGAAGCAAACACGCCTACAAAGGAACCAATTTGGTTCGCACCCTACCAGTTCGCGGCGGAAGAGATATTCCACGCTAGGATGTTAAACCACCCTTGTCGCACGAACGACCCGGCACGTGCCAACCTCTTCTACGTGCCGTTCTACGGCGGGTTCCACATGTCAAGCATGGGTCGAGAGACCAACTACACGGCCCGCGATGAGCTGGCAGTACAGCTGGCGGAACACGTGGAGCAACAGCAACCCTGGTGGGGCCGACGAAACGGGAAGGATCATTTCATGGTACTGGGCCGGACCGCATGGGACTTCATGCGGCCCGACCACCGGCAGGCCGTGGACTACGGCCCGAACACGCTCCTGACCCTCCCAGCGGTCAGGAACATGTCAGTGTTTGTGGTCGAGAGGCACCCTTCGGAAGGGAACAACCAGCTCGGGATCCCGTACCCGTCCTACTTCCATCCCTACACGGTCGACCAGGTCAGAGACTGGCAACGAAAGGTGGCGGGATCGAGTCGCCCGTACCTCTTCTCGTACATCGGGGCACGAAGAAAGGAAGGCGTGGCGGCGGCCATCAGGGACGAGCTCATGCAGCAGTGCTCCGAGTCGGAGCACTGCATGCTGCTCAACTGCACTGCGGATGCATCCAAGTGCAGCGACCCGAAGGAGGTGCTGAGGGTGATGATGGCGTCGCGGTTCTGCCTGCAGCCACGTGGCGACTCGTTCACCCGACGGTCCGTTTTCGACTCGTTGCTCGCAGGGTGCCTGCCGGTTCTGTTCTCGAGGCACACCGCGTACACGCAGTACCAAATGTACTTGCCCGAAAACACGACATCTTACTCCGTGTTTTTGTGGGAGGACGAAAAGATGATCAGTGACAACGGATCGAGGAAGGTTAACATAGAGGATGAGCTGATGAAGATCGGGAGCGGGAAAGTTGAGGAGATGAGGAAAGTGGTTGTGGATTTGATTCCCAGATTGACATTTGCGCACCCGAATGCTAGTGGTGATAAAGGGTTCGAAGATGTTGTCGATGTTGCCCTCTCATCGTTGCTCCGATTGGTTTACTAATTTGATGTGGCCAAAAATTTCGTTATACATATGAACATTTTTAGATCGTGTAACTATGAGAAGCTTCTTGATCGGCTTGTGATTATATCTGCCTCGAAATGCAGCATTAGTTTGATGTTATGAATAACGTGAAGGGTTAATGCTAGTTTTGGCCTTTTGGAGGTTCCACATCATTCCCCAAAACAAGCTAATTAGCACTAGTAATGCAAGGACTCATTTGCAACCAGATTGGTGGTCGCTAATAAGAAACGGGATCATCGCTACGGCGACCACTTGTTCACTTTTGGCAACACTTCCGCGGTTGCAGAATACCTCTTTTTGATATAGCAATATCTAGCAACGAGTCAGACCAGGGGAGAATTCAGATAGTGAGACCGACAGAGAATTTGTGTGTTAAAGTGAAGCAATGGCGACGAGGCTCTTGTTTAGAAAGCCACAATAGAATTAAGTCTATCAATGTCGTCATTATTCCATTGGCAAATGAAAACTTGGTAGTAAGAATGGTCTAATTACATCAGGATGTAAACAATACATACAACAGGGGCATGAAATCACACCAGTAAACTCTCCCTCCACCCTTTTCTCTCCCTCCTTCCTCTCCTCTCCTTCCCCCCATCTAAGACATCCCATAATGCACCGTCCCCACGTTCCGATGAGCCGCCACAGCAATAGCTGCCGCACCAGCAGGGCCGTAATGAGACTGGGCCTGGATCAGTTTAGCGTCGATGGCCATACGCTCGTTCATCTGCTGCTGCTGATGCTCCACGGACACCCTGGCTTGTTGCTGCTGCTGGTGGTGGTGGTGGTAGTACGGGTTCGTGTTGTTCATATCCGTTGCCATTGTTCCTGCAGGAACCATCGGCTTCCCCATCGTGGAAGCTGACATCATCATGTTGTGCGGCTGATGAAGAGGTTGCTGCGGCCTGGCTTGTGACGTTGTGTGGTGGTGGTCGGCGTCCATCAAGGAGGGTTTGTCTTTCGTCGTTGTGGTGGAGTTCATGGTGGTCCTGAAGAAGCATGGTGGCGACACTGTGGTGCTGTTTCTGTACAGACTCCTCGCGTCGTAGACGTCTGTGACGAGGTTTCTAGTACTGTCACATGGTACAACTGATCCTATGACTCTACCGGGCTTTGCTGCGCTCACTGAATTAATGTAAACAATGTTAGAAACTCACTGGAGAAAGGAAAAGAACTAAGTTGATCAATACTTTGTCATATGATCTCATAGACTGATTAGCTAATAGACGAGCCATTCCAAGGCAAAGCACTTCACTGACATCACTATTAGCAAATAGACTATTGCTTTCTGTCCCAAATCCGACTGTCTAGTGATGGTCCATGTAAGAATCTACGCATCACAACAAACCATGAGGCAACAACGAAAATGTACCTGTTGGCACTCTAGGTGGAGGCCGCGAAGTCCTAGAAGCATTCCCAGCCACACCGTCAGCCCCCCTGAAGTTTTTGGAAACTTCATCTGTTACTTGATGGTTGTCAACTGAAGTTGAAGTCGGGATGTTATGAGACATTGACGACGTAGAATGAATTGTGGGCCTGAAAACAAGAGTATCGATACCAATGTGAGAACACCAACCAGAGGGCGTTGTCAGAGATTTGCAATCAATGAAGTAATTAGATCATACCGAGGGAGAGAAACGTGCTTCCTCTCTAGAGGAATAACTGGTGCACTACGACCACTATTTTCTTCAAGATATGCAAACTGCTTTCTGAAGTGACCTATCGCACTGCATAACAACAAAGTGCCTTTTCAGCAAATGAAACCACCTTGTGGAATTATAAATTAGAAAATCTATAAAGGAGGCTTTCTCGAACCTAGGATAGAGGAAGTTTGTGCCTTCATTCCCACTCATGTAGTCTTTCAACAACTGCGGATGATACTCAAGTATCTCCCGGTAAAGTAGCTCCCTGATGTCATCCTTCGTTATCCTTCTCCTTTCAAACTCGAACTCCAACTTAGATATCGGCTGACAAGAAGGCTCTCTCTCGATTTTCGATAGGCCCCTAAAGTAAGGATCCGCAAGTGCCTAGCTCAACAGAAAGACAGTTAGAATAAGAACTCGACGATACCCAAACAAAACAAATACAAGTTCAGGCTTTAAATGCAAACCTCCTCCGCAGTTGGTCGATCCTTTGGATCGAAAGCTAGGAGCCTTTGGAGAAGTCTTAGTGCTAAGGGATCTGCAGTGGGGAACTTTTGTGCAAACGGGACAGGCTGTTTCTTCCTCATCTCAGTTAAATACTTCCGAGCTTTATCGTTTCTCACCTGAAAAATAATTTGTTTGTTTTCCAGCATCAATATCAAATCATTTCAACGGATGACAGAGATAGTCACAAAAGGTGAATGTTATTGTACCCCGGAAATGGTATCTTGTGCCGGAGTCCCAAGAAGATCAGTGATTATGTCCAATTGGTGGACTACACTTTTACCAGGGAACAATGGCTTCCCTGTCAACACCTCGGCAAAGATGCAACCAATGCCCCAAATATCAATAGCGGGGGTATACTGTATGCCAAATAACGGTCAAAGTTAGAAAATCTTGGGCAAGATAACAAATGTTAAGACTGACATCAGAACACCCACAGAAAACAGACATAAACCTGATACCATTTACCTGAACACGACAGAAATTTTCAACTTCCGGGAGAGTTTTTTTTCAGTCCTCCCTGAACAAGAATTATTTTAATCTAGGCATTACTGTTTAACGCATGTAGAACACAATCATATAGACACATGTAACTGTTTTGCTTCAATGGATATCTTATTCATGTTAGACAACAGAAGGCATGAAAAGATGCCCTAGATCTAAACCCTCTGGCACATATCAAGATCAAATAGAGGAAACAAAATCTATGGCATCCGTCTTGGAAAATATCAGCGTGTGATTGACATGTATACTAAATGGCATGAAAAGTGGGTTGAAGGTCGAACTAGAGCAGACTATGTGGTTCAACTGTCGAACTATAGCTGACTATAACAATCAAATTGGAGATCAAAGGATTACAAGTTCAATTGACCTTAATTCTTCCTTGAGAACAAGCTCTACAGAGCAGTTCAACAGACAAAAAATTCAATGCATAAATCGAGACTAAATCACCAGAATGAGGTCTATATGTCTCAGTCTTAGACAATAGAAGCTTTCCACATTCATGCCAGTTGTAAAGCATATGCATGTGATAATGTTGTAAAGCATATGCATGTGCTTATATGCTCCAGTAAGCTTCCGTAGCCTGGCTTCTTTTATCAAGGAATCCCAAACCATAACCAACATGTGAAACAATTACATAGGTCAAGCAATTTCTAGAAATAACCAAAGCAGGTAACTTGATCGTCACATGCCAATGGTTAACTTGCATTTCAAGTTAAGAGAAAAGGAGCACCATATAAAGATGAACATACAGTCTTAAAAGAAACAAACCTTAGAAAAGAAAGACCCACACAGCTCAGGAGCTCTATACCATCTGGTGGCCACATAGTCCTGCAACATGTAATCGAGAAACCTCAGTTTATGAACAAGCCACGTAGCAGAAAAAAGAGAGAGACCAATCTCAGCATGCCCTTGAAAATAACTGAGCATAAATGGTTACCGTCCAAAAAACTGTCGTTGGCGTATCACTAAATGCAACTCGTGCTAACCCAAAGTCGCAGATTTTGAGTTTGCAATTTGCATTTGCCAGTATATTCTTGGGTTTGAGATCTCTATGGTACACATTCGCTGCAATCCAAACAAATTCAGATCAGAACCATGAGGCACCAGAATGATTATTCAAAAGAAACTAGAAAAGAGAGATAAACCAAAGTGATTGCCAAGCACCCGAAATTTACCACCAGACAACTGCTGAAAATTTTCAGTTGAAAGAAAGTAAGGAGAGAGAGCTTGACAAAAGCCTGATTCTAAGAAAAAGAATCAGAGAAACTATTACCTGTATGCATATACTTCAATGCACGAAGCATTTGATAAAGGAAAAACTGGTGATGTTCACGCGTCAAGTCATCATTAGCTTTGATGACTTGATGAAGATCAGACTCCATGAGCTCAAAAACAACAAAAATGTCTCTGAATTCCCGCTTGGAAGGTGGTAGCATAATCCGCTTAATCTCAACAATGTCAGGGTGCCTTAACAGCCTAAGCAACTTGACTTCTCTCAATATTCGGATAGCATCGGAGATGTGTTCGAAAACATCATGTATCTTCTTTATTGCCACTTTTTCCCCGGTATGAGTATCTATTGCTGCACAAACAACACCATAGCTTCCTTTGCCAATGACCTCCAAAATTTTATACCTATTGGCATCACCATACTCTGTGAAAAACTCCATCTCTTTCAAATCCTGCAACAATAAAAATGTAAGACAGAAATATAAGGCGACCACCAATTAACATATGAAACCAACAAAATAGTAATGGCTGAACCAAATCAAAGAGAGTCGAAACATAATACATTTTCATATATTCATTAAAATGCAACTGCCACATACCGCACAAATATAAGGGATCAGAGCTGTATAGTTCATCACAACGATGAACAGAATTAAGGACTTCAACACAAACATGGAAGTTTTGCACAAAGGAAATTGAACTCCTACAGTAAGGACTAGGCAATCCCTGCTCTAATGACAGCTGCAATATCAAGAATCAAGATTGACATCCTTAGGTGTTCGGCCATGCACATTTGGTTGAAGCTAAGATCAAGAAACCGACACTTGTTTGAGAGCAAGTAAACCCATTAGTTCAAGCCTAATCCCCCTCGCACTAACCCAAGCATCCTCTGAACTGGGTAATCCAATTTCTCCACACATAGCTTGGATGTAAACAAAAATGCAGAATACCCACTAACCCAGATCATAATTACACACTTTCCTACCAACCACCTGATGAACTGAGCTCAGCAAGTAGATCTCTCTTAATTTCGGAAAGCTCTCCTAGTACCCTTCTTGTTTTTCCCTCACCTATTTCTTATCTCCGCTATGTAAAAACCCCTTCTTCTAGATACTGAAAGAATCTCTCGAAATCACCTTCTTTTCCCGTCGTTGAATCCAAGAAGTGTGAGCGATAAAACAAAGAGAGTTGGACAAATAGTAAATAACCAAGACCCAAATGGTAGACGAACCTCAGATCACAAATTCCTCCATGGATAAAAGACGAAAACACGAACAAAGAATCGGCTCATGAGTGTTAAAAAAGCTCTCACCTTCTTGGGGTGGTCTTGCTGCATCTTTTAAAAAAACCTTCTTCCGTATAAAGAAAACCCAAAACCCTTGATGTGAGCGCCGGCAACAGAGAATTACCAATTTCCCCGAATGAGCAAAGATTTGAATCAGAGAAAGATTCAAATTACTCGATTCTTTATTCTCTCCTTCCTCTTCCGAAGCTAATCGAAGTCGAACTGAGAAACCCCTCTCTCGCTCTCCTCAGAAATTCTCCCCCAACAGGCTAAAACGGGATCCAAGAACCCCAAATCGTTCCACTACTACCAAACTCGCGAACAAATTACAGCGCCTGAAGCCCTGAAAATCCGTGAATAATCCGGATTTGTGAGATCTGAGGGACCAAGCGGCAGAAGAACAGCAAAACGAGCAGGCGGATCTGAGAGAGACGGAGAGGGAGAGGGAGAGAGAGAGAGCAACACCGACAGCACCCAGAAGAAGAAGAAGAAGCAGAAGAGAAGGGAAGGATGGAAGAGAGAGAGAGCGGTAGTTGAGTTGTGGTGGTGGTTTAAATAAATCCGCAAAAAGGAAAGTAATGCATTATTTATATGATTCGTTTCTCTTTTTGTTTTCAAAATTTTGAATTTTCTTTTAACTCTTTTCAGTTTCTCAATTTACGTCAATTTACATAAGTGGTCACCAAACTTTGCTGCAATGATAAATTATGTCCTCAAATTTCACCGTTTAGGAGCCCATCTGCCGCTTATTATCGTTGCGATATTATAAAATTTTTTGAGCCATCCGGTTTTACCTGGTCAAACCGGAAACCAGCAGTAATTTTGATAGATTTTAGTGGGGATGTAAAATAGTAGCTCAACTACGTTGTTGCAAACCTTAATAGGCTCGAGATATGGAGACATCGATAGATCTGGGAAGTTGACAAAATTTACATAGCGGAAGAGGTCACAAGACATATTTACAAGTTTTGAATGTTCAATTTGATCTTATGCTATTTCGAAATCAATCAATTTGTACATCTCGAGGTTCTTTTTAGAATTTTAAGTTTTAGTCAGATACGAAATATTCACTAGCATGAATGCTCATGAGTCATGACTCATGAGTAACTATTATTGTAGTTATCTCAAACTTCATCGTCAAGTTGGTCAAATACTAAAGTTTAGTGACCTTTATATAGTGCTACAAAAGTTCACTGGCCATTTCTGCAATATACCCTAACGTCTCTTTTTCAATTTTTTATTTTATTTATATATAGTGAATTTAGCTGCCGCGCTGGAAATTTCTTTGGAAGCTTAGCTGTTGAGTCTAATGTACGGAGACGGATAGTCGGCCAGCTAATGCCATCCTTTTCTTTTATTTTCTATTTTTTTATTTTCTTTTAGTTTTACTTTTTTGTTTTGTTTTTTAGTACACAAAAAGCAACCGACCAACCTTCACGCCCACAGGCCACGTGGAAGCAGGAGGACGCAGTGTTCTATCATTTTCAATTTCTTAATTCTTTTTTCTCTAATTGCTTAATTAAAAAAGAGTTCATTTCTGGTATTTATTGGTGATAGTTGGTAGAACAGATTGGTAAAGTGATAGCCTAATTGAACTATCGAGGAGCTGCAAATTTGTATTTATATACTAAATTCCTAATCGGAGTACTTAACAAGGGTTTTTTTAACGATTAAGTACTAATACTTATAACAATGGTTAGGCATGTTTGAAATGTGTTGATGATTTATCAGAAATGTGTACAAATTTCTCATTATTATTTGATTATTTGGCAAGCTAAGGTTTTTTATTCAAGGGGTTTTTTATTTAGACAAAAGGAAGACAGCATACTTTGCAACAATTTAAATCATTTTCATGGTGATGGATGATGAATGTGCATTCCAATGTCTAGTCGGGGCTAAGTTTTATGTGAAGGGCCACCATTATTAACATTTCATAAAGAAAAATGAAAGATAAGGACCGACGCGAGAGGCACACAATGTATCATTTTTGTGGTCGTAAATTGGAGCTACAAAAGAGAAAATAGTATGTATATACTTGACCTATCTAATTTGTTGGACAATAAAAAAAATAAAGATACTTTTACATTTTTTAAATTTTTTTCTTTTATGACGATATGTATTCAACTAGGCTCTCTCAAAGCTCTCAAATCAAGTGAGGGCAAAGTTGTCATACAATCCATCATTTGTTCCAATCATATTTGAATTCCAAACAAAATGATATCTCGGTGAAGCTCTAAAATAAGCTCAAATATATGTAATTTGATTGAACGAACGGCTCGAATTATTGGCTACTTGTTCTAACTTTGTTGGCCTACAATCTGCTTGTGGGGTGAAGTTGTTGTTGTTTGGCTTAATTAAATCCGTATTGTGACATTCATCTCAAACCGAACATTCAAATCAGGGTTGAAGGTATTCGGTTGTTGTATGATGTGAGAGCGAATTGAATAGTAAAAAAAAAAACAGTAATCAGGGTTTTCGTTATTTGACAATTCGAGTTATTCTAATGTAATTGTTGGGTGCAAATTTGGTGGAATGGGTAACCATGGGTAATAGAATTATATCATTGATGGGTAGAACTCAAACATAATATTACTGGCAAAAGCATGGTTTTGGCAGCCTAATTATTATTATTTGGTCAAATAAATCCATGATATGATGGGAATCTAACACATACCAAGCCATGCTTTTACCAGCAGCAGGCAATCCTTTATGGAAAGTTGCATGCCAATTAAACCCGATAAACGGATCTTTGATTCTGCTTTGCGGCATCATTATTGCTTTTTGATTCATTATTATTGTAGTTATCCTAAAAGAAGAAAAAAATATATAGGGTTCCTCTTTCAAACTTCAAAGGAACTCATTATGATTGTATATAATTAGCTTTCTGTGTGATTTATTCTTATAATTTTATGGAACATAATAATGCTGAGACTAATTTCTAATGAAATCAGACTTGACTTCACCAAAACAGTCACGACTTGTTAATTAATATATTAAGTAAACAATTATCGTGTCCCACATGATGTAATGGCCTTCTTAATTATCCATCACTCTAACTAGGCCATCATCATGAAACTGAATTAGTTTACTTAGATTATTTACAAAATTTAAAAGAGATATCGTGTGTTTATATCAAGCAATAAGAATTATGACCCGTCAATGCTCACTCACATCCACCACATCACGATACAGCGTTTTTTGTTGAACGAATTCGAGTGGATCTAAACACTCATACAAAGAAAACGGTCGACCGCTTCTATGTTAAGCAATCGTTATGTACCTTCAAACTGGATTGAACTTTATATAACACGCATGCATGCAATGAAGGTTTCATTACGTACGTGGCTTCCCTTTCCCCGTTTTACATGTGTGTGTACTTTTATACACAAAAATAACAATGAGAGAATGTCAATTCCTCACGCGTGGATAAGTAAATAAATTGTTTGAAAAGTACCCATTTTTGGGTACCCCAAAAGCATGTATTTCAAATGCATAATAATCACATATGAGTATTATTGGAAGGGTCATCGTCCATTGAATTCATCGCCTAATAAAACTTGATCCACACTTGTGGGTTGTTTTCAGGTCATCTTCATCGAATGCGATTCGTTTCATGATTTCAGTGTCTATAGGTATTATATCTCGCGTAGAAAGTCGATCTTATAATGCTAATCGATAGCTCCACTAGACTTGTATTACCAGACTCAAACATGGTCCGGCCGACCATGACCCAATTGGTATCTCTATCACTACGTACATATTAGTAAATGAAATAAGATTCATTATTGAACATCTTCCAAATATGACCTACAAATTATGGTATGACCGTATAGCTCAAGTACACTGTCGGCATTTTGATATTATATGCTAAGGAAAAAAGAAAGGTAAAATGAAATTGGGATTTAAATAGAAGGAAAGAAGCAATGAGTATGACCTACTAATTAATAAAGAAGGAAAATGAAGGAGCATGACAAAAGGAAAGATGGCGATATGTGAGCGAGCGAGGGGAGTTGGGAGGTCATCGTCCCAAACTGTGGGGAAGCATCCATCACTCCATAAAAATGTATTATTCAATTTAGGGTTTTTGGATGGTGGAATCTTGTCGGTGTAGCAATGTGGGTGTTAGTTGGGTCTCTAACTAGATAGTTCTAGTACTTCTATATACTCATCAATCTACAATCCAAAATATTTCTATCTTCTCTTGAAAAAAAAAAAAGATTATAAATAATTAGATAGATGGATATGTCTATCTTGCTATTTTGAAGCCGGGTTAGGTCAATTTCAGAAGTGAAACTGTTACTAAAGTTGAGATAATGACGTTCGTTCACACTCTTAATGTACGGTTTGAGAAATGGGGTCACAATGATAATTAAGTAGTTTTACAAAGAGATTATACCATGCGCATCGAGGTCACGCTCTACCTTCATTACATTGCTGCTATGCGATGGATTCTCTATTTATCGAATGTGTAGTCAAACTAATTAGTCATTATATCTGTTAGAATGATAATTTCGTTGCAAATCAATTACCCATCTCACTCATGGAAATAGATCACACTTTGATTTCTCATGTTGGATAGTTCACCAAATAGTCTTGACTTTCAACATATTAGTTGGCTGAAAGAAGTGTACTTTTCTCCTTCTCGTCTCACTTCAAAAATATCATATGCAAGTAGGTAGGAACTCCACGTCCCAACGTTGCCACCGCCTTCATCATCAATTCCTTCTAGATTGCTTTCTCCATTCCAATCTATCTAATTAACGAGTAATTTTACAATTAACAATTAACCACGTTTATTATAAAAAAAAACAAACAATTAACCACGTTTTCCAACAAAGCCTTATGATTTTACCCAAACCTCTTTTGTTTGAAGAGAGAAAGGATCCACGTGGATCGGGTTTGGTCAATTCCACCCAATTTTCTTGATTAGACCAACAACGTGGAAGTTCATCATTGAATTATTACAGATACAGACACGTGATTTTTTTAACTAACTATCAGAAGATGCCAATTAGAAAGTGATTAATTATTCCCTTTTTTAATTTGTCAGCTACCTATAACATATGAGCTGAAATATATTATGAGCTAAAAGTATAGTTAGACATGTGTTAGTTATTTGAGCAATAGCATCAATACAACGATGAATACAATAGTTACTGTATATAATTGCATAAGCGGTTATTCACTTGCTCTACAAGCAACACTGAACTTGGAAACTAACAAAAATGGTGGCATGATGTGTTGTTGTTCACTTGTGACCTACTGCCAGCCCGGTAGCAACAGACATTTTCAGGGAGGGAGAAACAGGTGAATCGCCGAAGAACACATCGAAAAGAGCTGCAGCCACGTTCATCGATTCAATCGTTGCATCTGCACCAGAAGACGTGTCGCCTTCCACGCAGACCTGGAAACCAGCAGATGCCAATCAAGATCGCCGAAAATGTGACAACGTTCTGCATAAAATGAGTTGTGACAGACTCTTACATGCATTTTAGAGGGACCTAGCCATGTCAAGAACAGGACAGTTCCTTTGTTAAGAGGCCGGTTCTCAAACGTGGCTCGTAACTTGGCGAGGGCAGGCTTATCGGCTTCGGCTGGTGCTTTGATCCTGGGCGAAATAGCTTCGTCCAATGCGTCCCAGAATGTTTTGCCATCGACGTCTCTTACCAGGACAATCCTTAGTGCTTTCTCAGAGGCATCTGCAGTAAATAAATGAATGCTCTCACGTTATCAAATTTACTGTGATGTTTCTTTCTAGAGCTTGTTAATGACATATGCATTACCAAGGAAAATGGAGGTGAACAACGATGAGTTCGCTTCGATATCAGCAGCTGACTGATCTTTGCATGCAGTCAATATGGTAAAGATGGATTGATCAACGTACAGTCCCGCAGCATACACTTTGACCCCAATGATGGCAAACACCTTCTCCCTGTATCCTGGAAAAGAAATAGCATCTTGTTATCGAGCTGTTAGTTTTTTGCAGAAACCAAGTTCCTTAAATTCACCTCTGCAGAGAATTCCAACACATATTTATCGAGCTTTAACTCAATTAAGCAGCACCACAAAGGGTGCTTCTAACTAGCTTGAGGGCGTGTTTCAATATACGATGAAGAGGCAATTGATTGATTCTTGCTAACGATGAATGCAAATGCGTAGAACATATCTTGTATAGATATTAGTAACTCTAATTGTACTGACCAGTTCCGAGCAACGATAGCGAGCTTGATGAGCAACCTGGCACGTTCAAGGACGTCGGGAATTTCACATTGGTTGTAGGTTCCTCCAAGTATTCTGTGGTTCCAACTGTGAGGCCAGAGTCCCATAGCAACACAGATCAGAATGGGGCATAAAATGTGAGAGTAGACAGGGCTTTCAACAGCCATCTTCAACAAAATTCATGGTGAGAGTAACAATGAAGAGCATGCAATGTTGTGATCCAAGAATCACTGAAACCGTTAGATTCTGATAATCCCACACCAAAGGATCCCAAGAGGCATTGGTGATAGTAACATAACATAATTTCATTATTGTTCAATATAATTGCTACGTTCTTCCTGTCAATACTACTAAAATTTCTAAACAGCCCAAGTAGCAGAAGCTAGTAAAGGAACAAAAACAATGGCTTGCAGAGACACTGGAATAACAGGATTCACAAAGAGGATAACAACTTGTGCATTCATAGCATCATAGAGATGAAATGAAAGACATTCTACTTTGGCAAACATTCAGCAAGTTTTTGCACTGATGATATAAGATCTCAGCAGTTCGTACTATGAACACAAACCGATATAGCTCAATCTACAACCGATAGAGTTGCACATTTTCAGAGGAATGAGATACGCTTCATATTTTTAACTTCTCGCCACCAACTGGACAACAGTTACCGGGACACATATTTTAATAATGTATCAGAGCTTTTGATGACTGATCGTATGATTCAAAATCCTAGTAAGTCCAACATCAGCGCTTGATTGAAACACAGTTTAACAAACATTCTGCAAACTTCACACCCAGTATAACTAATCCGTGATACCACCCACAAAGCCTCTAACAATTTTCACAGGAATCACATTCGGATTCAGGACACCCAAGCGCACAAAAATTTGCTCTATCTGACCTACATGATGTTCTTGCTCCACACACATTGCAAAAATTCATGCATCCATACACAAAAAGATTCAAGCTTTTGAGCAGAAATTCCCCCAAAACCAAAAAAACTGATCACTTCTTCACTAGAACCCTAAGAACACAAAACGGAAAATGGAGAACCCATACATGCATGCACATCAAAATAAGGAATTGGGGGAATGATCTTTTGAACACAATACCTGAAGAAGAAGAAGAAGCTTTCAAAGAAAGGGGAAATCTGTGACTGAGCCTGAGATTGTTGATCTGATGAGCCGCGGAATGCTGAAGAGGGAAGAATGCTGTAGTGGATAAGGGAGATGGGTAGTTGGAGCCGGCGATGATTCTGCGGCGGAATGGGGCAACTGGGTCGGGTCGGAAACAAGCTGCTGCAGTCGAATTCCAGGGTTTGGCGGAGATCGGAGCGAAAATCATTGAAGCCACCATTTTTGTTTTGGTCTGTTGGTGTTCGTCAGTGTTCCTCCTCCCTCTTTGTTCTGCTTCAATGAATGAGGGTTCTACACGGGTGATGGGGTTTATACTTTATACATGGGAGAAGTAAAATCCCACGGTCAAATAGGATCGAAGGTCGTTAATTAGCTGTTATAACATTTTTGACTCTCTTATATGTGTTTGTGGTTCGTATATTTTTATTTTGTTCAACTAACCCCTTCTTTGTTGGATCCATAACAAATTTTAACTTGGGAAAAGCTCTCCGTTCTCGACTTGAGTAAAGGAAAATGTTGCTATAAGAAATCCTAAATTTATAGAGTGTGTTTAAGATGTGAAACATAACATAGTACGGTTTTCACGTAGATAGCTTACATAATAATGTAAGGTGTTGTGTTCTTAGGTTATTAATCAAACGAGATGATATATGATATTTGATTTTGGCTACGTAGTATTTCAATTTGACAAATTGAATATGTTGCGTGTCACTTAACAACATTGCGTACAACACTTATTAAATATGAGTCGGGTTTTAAGTTTCTATACGAGTTAAATGTCAACAAAACATATTTTTATGACATTACATGCATCTTCTTGACATATGCTCATTAGTCATTAGGCACACAAGACAAAAGTCTGAAAACCGAAATTATGAGCATAAGGACAGAAATTTAGCAGATCACATAAAACACAGAAAATAAGGGGAACAAGAAAAATTCCAAACCAATGCATCTCAGCTCCTATCCAAGTACTTGGAATTTGATCTTGAGTTTTGGTGATACCATCAAATACCATTTTCGCCATCTCTCTCGTCATCATTTGCAAAGGTTTAATCAAGATTATGACTATAATAATTATCGTGCAAAACTTTCACCGACCTCAGAAACTTGATGAAATAACCAAAGGCCGTAGACATCCCAAATCCTCTTATCATGTGGGCTTCTCTGATCCACTCAATTTCAACTCATATGCTCCCTCCTCTTATAAAAACCAGAAACAAAATGTGACTGAGCTTGCCTCCCTTCTTCTGGTTCTTCACTGTCCCGTTCGTTTCTTTCTTCCCCCACTTCAGATTTCAAGGTCGCCCATTTCGCTTCAGTAGGTTGTTTTCACTGCTGAGTCCCACTCGCTATCTGGGTCTTTGATTTGGGAAACAAAGTTTCGAGCTTTTTGGGTTTCCCCCTTGTGGGCACTTCAGAAATGGCGTCATTGACAATGGTTGACTTAGTGGGTTGCGCCTCCACTTCTTCTAATGCATCATTAGATAGGTATCTATGGCGGAAAACACTGCACAGCTCCGTCTCCCAAAGGGCTCATGGAGTCCGCCGTTCTGGAAAATTGGTAACTTGCCGTCTAGATTCTGCTCGTTGTAGAAGCATTTCAACAAAGAGCGCTGACACGCTGCCTAATGGTATGTAGCTGTGTATCACGTTGGCCCTTCACTTGCCTCCACTAGTAGAATTTATTGGATGGTAACGGCTTACTTTCTACAAAGGGTTTAGCTCCCTTGTTCAATTTGTTTCTATTGCCTTTTCCAGTAAGAAGGCTCTCACACTATAGTGAATACCCAGAAAGGGCAGTATAACCGTGTTGTGGCGAATGGATCTGTTTAGAGTGTTCACTTGATTTCTGCTTGCCATTTGCTATGCCATGGTACTTCCTATTACAAAGGAGTCATAAAGTACTCAACTTTTGTTTGAACTGTGAACATCCAGGAACTCCAGAAATGTTGCTCAATGTGAAAAGAGGTCAAATTTCGTTGGGGACGGTGTTCGACGTGGTAGCTGACGACCTACTGATCCTTAACCAGAATCTAAAATCAGTGAGCACTCAAGTTTCTAACAGCCGGTCTGTCTTTCTGTAGTGTATGAATGATGCTTTTTATATGCCCTGGATTATGTTAATGGTCTTCTATGTTGCCTGATTATAGTTTGCTACTTCCGATATGTGGATATGTTGCTGATATAACACAGTAGACTAGTGTGCGTTGATGTAATGGTTCAAATCATTGAATGGTAAACAGATCATACGTAGTTTCTGATGGTTCATAATGTCTTCTGTCCGAGGAATTGTAAGATTATAACAAAATGCGAATCAGGGGAGTCATTGGCTGACATTTTTTTATTTGTTCCATTTTTGCATGAGAAGTTTGTTGATCTTGAAACCCAATCAGCTTTTGGTGAAATGTTCTTGCTCTGAAGGTTTTCTATCTTCCATTTTTCATTCCTGAAAGACACTGGCTGTTTGAGCAGGTAGATGTTCTTCAAATGGTTAAATTTATGATTATAATGACACAAATAACCAACCACCAAGAAGGGGGTGTAAAGAGGAACACACCTCATTTCCATAGTATTTCCTATTCTTTCTTGAAATGTTGTTGCATTAGTGCCAGTAGCTATGAAATTGAGGTGCAGAACACTAGTGAGTGGATCTAATGATGACAACTTTACTAAGCTACCTCCAACTAGTTTTTTTACACTCTTTTGTTAGCATCATCCACTTCCATTTGTCATGATACTCCTTTTGTTCTTTATGTTGCATTAGTATGCTGATCGGAACGTTTCTGAATTTATCTGATGAAGAAGATCTTTGTGCTAGATTGTTGGTGCAGAGAACCCGGTTTTAATGTCAGCAGCTGAGCAGATATTTGGTGCTGGAGGGAAGAGAATGCGTCCAGCTCTGGTTTTCCTTGTGTCAAGGGCTACAGCTCAGATGTCCGGCTTAAAGTTAGTTCTACACAGCATTCTCAACGATTCACAGTTTACATTTCCAAGTAGATTATACAGCAAATGTAAGGCAGTATTCTTTTACAGGGAACTAACAACGAATCATCGTCGTCTAGCAGAGATCATCGAGATGATCCATACAGCAAGTCTAATACATGATGATGTGTTGGATGAAAGCGACTTAAGAAGGGGTATGTGACGTCTGTCTATTTAATGTGAGTAACTCTCGAAACATCCCTTTACACCATTTGATGGTGTCTTTTGCAGGTAAGGAAACAGTTCATCAACTCTACGGTACGAGGGTAGCAGTACTTGCTGGGGATTTCATGTTTGCACAGTCATCTTGGTACTTGGCCAATCTCGAAAACCTTGAAGTCATCAAACTCATCAGCCAGGTAAAGTCTGGTAGCCCTCCTCCATTTATCGAATGATGCAGCTATGTATTAATACAGACAAGGCTAAACTGGAAACCTCTGATGCTGAAGGTGATCAAAGATTTCGCTAGTGGCGAAATCAAGCAAGCATCGAGTCTGTTCGACTGTGACGTCAAGCTCGAAGAATACCTGATCAAGAGCTACTACAAGACGGCTTCTTTAGTCGCAGCTAGCACCAAAGGATCCGCCATTTTCAGCGGGGTAGACAGCAGTGTGGCCGAGAGCATGTTCGAATACGGCAAGAACCTCGGCCTATCCTTTCAGGTAGTCGACGACATACTCGATTTCACCCAGTCGGCTGAGCAGCTAGGGAAGCCAGCTGGGAGTGACCTGGCAAAGGGGAACCTGACTGCACCAGTCATATTCGCTCTGGAGAAAGAGCCTAAACTCAGGGACATCATCGAGTCTGAATTCGTCGAGGAAGGTTCTCTCCAGGATGCCATCGACTTGGTCCAGAGATGTGGAGGAATCCAGAGAGCACAGGAACTGGCCAAGGAGAAAGCTGTTGCTGCAATCCAGAACCTCGAGTGCCTTCCTCGAGGCTCCTTCCGTTCTGCACTCGAGGAAATCGTGCTGTACAATCTTGAGAGGATCGAGTAAAACGAACGGGACTTGCTGTATAACTACTGTAAGTATTACATTGGGATGATCTAGTTCTTGATAATTACTTGCAGCTTAAGCTACTTGCTGCACGATGATGGTATATACACAATAAAATGGGAGGAATGTCGAACAAGCCCCCCTGCTGTCTGGCCAATTGTGAAGATCTCTTGTGGCAGCTTTGTACATTCATAGTTTCAGATTCTTCTTCTGGAAATGTAATATTCAATGTGGTTAACTGTACAGATTCTTTCTTCACTATATTTTCCTGCAAGAAATGGTTTCCTTTGAATTCCAAGGGTCCGAAACGTTTCTGTCCCACGTTGGTGTTGGGCTTTATGGGCTACTGGGTAAGTGGGCCCATGAAACAGAGCAGACCCAACTGGGACTGTAAAAGATTAAAGATGATTCTTAAGGGACGAGTTCGTCCAAAATCCAAAATCTGTGTACTCTTTGCTAGCAATCGAAAAATTTAATTGTCATTTATGTAATTTATCCGGAAGGTTTATTGTAATTTTTTTGGCCTTCACCCCAATAGCTCAGCCGCGCGCCTGCTTCTCCGACGCCGCCATTAGCGGTTATGAAACTTCTGAGCTACATCAAGCAATGGAAATCCGCCGCTCGAGAAGCCGTAGCGCAAGCTTCAATCGCCGCCCAATTCCTTTCCTTCATTCACATCACCGACGCCTACATCTGCTCCACAACTCTCGTTCAGGGCCCCAGCATGCTCCCGACATTGAATTACTCCGGCGACGTGGTCTTGATCGAACACCTGTCCCATCGATTGGGGAAGCTCGAACCTGGCGATATCTTGCTGGTTCGTTCTCCCGTCGATCCTAAAAAGATTGTGGCGAAGCGGATTGTTGGAATGGAGGGCGATCGAGTTACTTACCTCACGGAGCCTTCTTACAGCGAGAGCTCCCGCACTGTCCTGGTAGGGAAAACTAGGGGGTTTCGTTATTCGATGTTTGATTCTTGTTTGGCTGTTGTTGCTTCGTGGGTGAAGGGCTGAATCAACTGGATTTTGGGTTGCAGGTTCCAAAAGGCCACGTCTGGATTCAGGGGGACAATGTCTATGCTTCTGCTGATTCCAGATACTTTGGTGCTGTTCCTTATGGTTTGATTCAAGGGAGAGCATTTCTAAGAGTAAGTATTTCTTTCTTTCTTTCTTTATGCCCTTCTTTTCACTTTGTTTCTACTTCTGAACTGAACTTGCTGCTTGGGTGATTGAAATTAGAGGAATCCCCTATTGTCATGGCTGATTAGGTGAAACGGGAAGTTACGTAGGGGTCTGAGTTTCTGACTATGAGATTAGGATGAGACTTAATTTTGGGTGGCTGAGTTCAAAAGGAAGTTTCTTTAACCAAAAAGAGTTCCAGGAGTACTTTAAGTTTGCAGGATCTGTTTCTAGTCTCTAGAATGATGCATGAAAGGTTTACATGTAGAAGGAGAGGAGCTGAGTGTTGATATCGCAGTGCTCGATTTTCTGTAAAGTTACTGTCTTTGGATTCAGTTTCGGTGTGAATTCAATGGCTTTGGTTTCTGTAAAGTTACTGTCTTTGGATTCGGTTTCGGTATATTGATGTAATTGGCCTGATAGAAACATAATTTATCTGTCTTTTCGCCACCAGGTTTGGCCAATTGGAGACTTCGGCTATTTGTGATGAACACAGATACTGAAAGGTATCTAGTTGCCTGGGTTTGTAATCATCTGTTCAAGGTTCCCTACGTACTTTTGTCCATAACATGTTTGCCTAATTCGATGGAAATGACATCTCCTCGATATGTATGGTACCTTGCTGTTCTTTCTAGGTAGATTTTAGATGTTGAAATAGCAGATCGCAAATGTGAGCATGTGATATTTATAAGGGCGTGTATCTAATGAATGCTCGAATGATAACACTATCAGTTGATCATAGCTCCCTGTATTTGCAACTCAGAGAATGAAGCTGAAATGTACAGAGGTATTTACATGCAATTTGCTCTAGCACTTCCTTGGTCTTTATTCTTTACAACCCCTTGATTTGCAGAGTTGATCTAGTGCCTTATTCCCTATTGGTTGAGTGCTTGCTGAATGAATAAGAACTCTCCCTGGATTGTGTTTGGACACGCAACTCTCGAACCGTTGGAAGACTGCAATTCCTCTTTTTTCTGTTCTAAGTGCACGAGCACGACTTAAATGGCTTTCACTCACTGCAGTGAGAGACAACAAGCTGTCTGTCTCGAGCTGGATTAATCCACACAAATCTTTCCATTTCCAGAAGCAAGGCAAGCAACTGATCCATCTGTACCTCTTGTGGACATGCTGATCACACGACACCACTGAAGTTTTGCTTGAAATAGAATGGTCAGCAGCTGGTTCCATACCTTCCTCTCTTTCTATTAATACTTAACAGTTAACAGCATAAATGGTGTGGTCGTCGGCGCTAGATCCCAGCTGTGTGGCAGTCTATCAGCAGCCTGACTGGCTCGTCGCTGTCGCGTCAGTAATGAGGATCAGTGGCATTCAACCCCCAAATCAATGCTGTTCTTTATGAAAGTTGGTTGGCCATGCTTATTGATTCCCCACGTTCTAAATAAAGATGGACAGTCTGTCTGTCTATAGCAATGGCGGTATGGCCTAGCATTTGAGTGGTGTTGCTTAATGACATCTCCATTTCAGTCACTCAAATCATTTCACCTCCTGACCTGCTCCAACAGAGACCTTTCGAGTAGATAAGATAATGTGTCTTTCATCTATCATATCTCCTCAATCAAAATAGACATAAAACGACAAAACGATACATGGATTAAGAAAGTAAATGTAATATTTTTTTTCTGACATTCACGACACGTGAGTCATCCAAGACATGCTGCTTGTCATAAATTAGTTGGTCTCAATAACCCGAGTTGTTGGAAGAAGGTTATGCTGGATCTTATACCACTCTCTAACACGCTTCCTCAAACGAAAGCCGACTCATGGGCTTGAAATTTGCACAGGCCTATCATACATTGTGCTTTAATCGGCTCTTAATATTGGGGGTCGTGGAGATTTGAACACACGACCACTTGGCCAAACTAGCTCTGATACCATGTCATAAATCGGTTATGCTGGATCTTATAGTATTCTCTAACACTCCTATGCATGCCTTGTTACGGCCATGTTTGTTGACATTTTTAGTGCAGAGAAGCTAAAACAAACCAACCCCCCCCCCCCCCCCCCCCCCCCCCCCCCCCCCCCCCCTATATAAGGCCAAGCTTCGCCATCGTTGAGTAAGCTTAAAGAGAGACAGAGAGAGAGGTAGTAGTAGCCATGGCGATGAAGGGGAAGTTGCAGTCTGAGATGGAAGTGAAAGCATCTGCCGACAAAGTCTACCATGTGCTGAGGAAAACATCACACCACATCCCCAACCATACCTCGAAGAACATCCATGGAGTTGAAGTTCACGAAGGAGATTGGGAGACTTCTGGATCGATCAAGAACTGGAAGTATACTATAGGTAACAAAACCAACCTAGCCAGCTCCCTAATTTCCATTCATCATGATTGTCTTCTAAATACCCTAAAACACGATTAACTGTTAATAAGATGGGAAGCCGGAGGTGTTGAAGGAGAAAATGTTGTTCGACGACGAGAAGAAGCTGGTGACCTTGATCGGGCTGGAAGGCGACGCAATGAAGCTGTACAAAGTGTACACAGCCAAGTTCGAGATCAAGCCGAAAGATGTTGCCGGCGGCGGCAGTGGCAATGGCAGCATTGTTAGCATCACGGTGGAGTATGAGAAGCTGAACCCTAGTTGCCCACCTCCATACAAATACCTGGATTTCCTCGAGAGCGCTTTCCAGGACATCACTGAAGCCGTTGCCTGATCACCACCAACAATCAATGCATAAGAAACAAAATAAGAGTATTGTGAATATGGTTTATATTATTTGTTTCGTATTTGATGATATGGGTTTGTATTGTTTGCTCATCAAAACCTTTGTACGTGTCTGAAAAAATAATGAGAGGGCGGCTTAGAGATAGCTCTCTTGCAAACTTTCTAGGTGTCTTAAGGTTCATGATCAGTTGGAATATTGTATGGTGATGAATCCCTCTTGTGGATGTGGTATGAAGATTTGCATTCTAAATGTAATGAATTAACGGGTCTTTGGTTGAATATGGTATCTATAACTCGAGTTGTTTGCCATCAAACAGTTTATGATACGGTATACAATAAGCTGATTCGACGGTATGGTCTTGTGTTCGAATCTGGACGATATAAAAGTTGAATTAAGCACGTCACTGTATGACGAGTGTGTACAAAATTCACTGTCGTTCGAGCGACATGTAAGAAAATCGTATAAGGTTCTACTCGACCCTCTCCATAATAATGGTATGTAAAGTGAAAGACGAGTATGCCTATTAGCTACCATTTCTACGAGATTCAGCTAGGTTTAATTGTCAAGAGATTCTTATTTTCAGCCCTCCTCGCTTTGAAAAGGCACAGCCTCTCTGTCTGCATAATGTGGTTGCCCTTGCATCCCAAATCCCATCTGATGGTGATTTTGATAATGCTCACTGACATTAATTTCACAGGAGACCCATCAACATAATGAAGATTAGCGACAATAAATTCCCATGCAAAGCAATTGAGTGTTGGACACGTCAATGCTAATTATATATGAACGGTCTAGTTAAGCCTAAGCATAGTTGATAAAAAGAAGTTGCGTCTTTATCTTTCTCTGTTCCCTAACTTGTTACCATTTGGTTTCATTCAATCATCTCAATTTGCCATGCTTCAACGGAGTTGAAATGTGTCATTTCCAAAATAAACAATACAAGCCGTCATAAATCATTGTTACTGTCATAAGATTGTGTTTTTATGTTTACATGTTACCAAAACGTTCCTATATACGATGGATTGCATTTTTTTTATTACCTAGTAAACTCAGCTTCACGTGTCACTTTTGTAACAGCAGGGCCTACTAAATTTGGAGGTCACCTGCAATCAATTTGACGCTAATGGGGCTTCATGGGCTTCATCTCCAACAGCCTCATACCTCTAGGAACACTAACGGGCATCGCTTTGGTCGAATCTGGGATCTACAACTCCCAAGTTTTCACTCTCGTGACAGCTTTACCGTTAGGCTATCTTACTAAGATCGTCATTGTTTGTAAGCATGATGGTGAAGTGTAGAATATATTAAAAGAAACATACTTGACAACTAGCTAGTCTGCCCTTTACATGCAAAAGAAATAGAGGTAGATCGTGTTATTTGGAAAGTCCAGAACTTTATTTCTCAGTAACATATAGCTCACAATCATCATACAGGCAACATGTTTATGTTCAAAGCTTATGGAGGATGAGTCGAGCACCGAATTGTGGCTGAAGTATGGGAGCTTCGGGGGAAGGAGCATGAACATAGGATGGTGAAAGCTCAAAGGAAAACCTCTTCAGTATGATCGCCAAAGCCATCTTAGCCTCCATAAGAGCAAAATTCTGGCCGATGCAGATTCGAGGACCCCATCCAAAGGGGAAGTAAGCACCCTGTTGGTTGTGGTTCCTCGTCGCCTTCGAAACACCGTCGGCGAACCTCTCCGGCTTAAACTCCGCCGCGTCGTCCCCCCATATCTCAGGGTCCTTGTGGACGAGGATCGTCGGCAGGGCCAACTGTGTCCCTGCCGGCAGAACGAAATCACCCATCTTCGTATCTCTCTCGACAGCTCGAGTCATCTGCATCACCGGAGGGTACAGCCTCATGACCTCGTGCATGATCATGGTCATGGTTTTGAGCTGGCCCAGAGCGCTCGAGTCGAGGGAGGTGGAGTTGACGTCGTTGTTGGTGCCAAGGACGTGCAAGACCTCGTGTCTTGCACGTTCTTGCCACGCGGGGTACTTGCTGAGAAGGACCATCGTCCACACCAGCAGTGTGGAGGTGGTCTCCTGGCCCGCGAAATAGAACAACTTGCATTCCTCGATCACATCATCCAATGTCATCATCCCGTTTTTGCCATGGTTGTTGTTGTTGTTGGATTCCATCATCAGACCGAGCAGGTCGTCGTTGGAGGCGATCTCGCCCATCCTCGTCGCCTTCTCTCTCTTGTTGATGATCCCCTGAATTGCTTCTTGGATCTCCTTGTATGCTCGTTTCATCCTCGTGTTTGTTTTGGTCGGTAGGAACCTGGTCAAAGAGAGAGAGAGAAAAGAAACACATATGGTAAGCTCTAAATATTATCGGTTGATCCTGATAACTCTCGAGAGGCATGTGAATTATCTCGTATTAGTTACCTCCATCCTGGTATATAAACTTGTCGGACAATCTGCATGATAAGAGTGGCCATCTCTCTGAGTAGTTGGAAAGTTTTTGCCCCTTCTTTGTAACTGCTTCCAAATGATGTTCTGGAAATTACATCACATGTCATGCTCTGTAGGTAAGGCCACACATCCACTTCACAAGTCTCACTTCCCTTGGACTTCATCACCTCCCTCTCCCACTCATCAACCATCTCTCTAGAGCTTCTATAGAACACTGGCACCATCAGCTGTGTAATAAATAAAATAAAATAAATAAAGAAAAATTTTAGATTACGCCAACTTTCGTACCGCTTTAATGAGCGAATAACGCAACTCTTGGAACATACTACAACTCCAGGTGGCGAAGAGCCCACATCGAGGTGCCAAACATTACCGTCGATGTGAGCTCTTGGCGAAGATCAGCCTGTTATCCCTTAGCGGTTAAACTATTTTTCTTCTCTAAGATCTTTTATTAATTATATGGAATTACGAGTTACCTTGAGCTTCTCCTGATGGAATGCAGGGTTGAGGATTTTCCTGTGCTGTGCCCATTTGTCGCCGTTGTAGCTTGCGAGCCCCGACACCAGCAGCCTCGTCAGTGGGTTGCCCTTCAACTTTGGGTACTCGTCAATTTTGGTGAGCACTTCTTTTATATGCTCAGGATTCATGATGTGCACCCTTGGCACTGGTCCAAACCATGTGAACGATTTCTTCCCTGCAGTAATTTAGAGAGATCCAATTTAGATATAATAGGTTCCTTAGATCGAGCAATTCTACTGTACTTTAAAGTATTGGTGCTTTAAAATACAACTTAAAGTTGTACCATAACGTCAGTGGCGTAACCAGACATCGAGTCCACTGGGGTCCTTAAAATTTTTACTAACATAAATGCTTGTGTACCTAATGAATTTTGAGTTAACCGGGGTCCTTGGTTAGCTAACATCGTTGAGAGTATGGGGTCCTAAACTTGAATTATCGTACTAAAACCTATGTATTTAAAGGGTTTTGTTGCCCAATTATTTGCCAAGTGGGGTCCTATGACCCCTCTCCTCCTTACCTCCCTCCGCCACTGCATATCGTTAACGATACAAATTGAAATTGTACCATAAAGATATTTATACAAAAGAGTATACATACAACTTGAAGTTATACCATAACATTAAAGGCACAAAACTAAAGACCAATATTTTAAAACGTTGTAAATTTCCTCGGTCGCTTAATCATCAACTAAACGTACTTAACCATCCATTTTCCGACCAAAATACAAAGTTGTGTTGACATTAAAAACAATGGAAAAACGACACCAGAAATTAAGGTACTTGACCTTAGTAGCAAGTTAGAATAGTCCATCGTGAGTCCAGCCAAAAAGGAGATAAATATATGGTAGATTGGTAGGTAATCCAACGAGGAACCCACCAAACTTACTAGTAGTTGATCATTAATGGTCGGCCAATTGTAAAATGGTTATTGAATTTCCGAGTCATTGACAAATCGGTCACTGTATTTTTGTTTCTTAATTAATCATGAGATTCATCTATAAAGTTAACTAATCTATCTAGTTGAGGATATATAATTTCTTGTCACAAAATATAAACGAACTCGATACGGAATTGCAGCGCCCTGTATAAATATAAACCCTAATAAGCATACACGTGTCGACCTGATGACTTATTTTGACTCATAATCAATTCAAATCAAGCTCTATGAAAACATGCATTATTGCCTCAAATTACACTCGCTAAATCCTTTTATCACCCCTACTCGTCGATGCAAACTAACCCATGGAGGGAAAGATACAACCAACAACAAGACATCTCATCCAGGGAAATCCTTTTAGACACACGGAAATGAAGCTACCCTAAAACACAAAGGAAGCTAGCTCTAAAAGAAATATCATCAAACATCAGACTTTCTGCACAACTCTACGAATAACCCAGTTTGCAGTTCGTCAAACCGCCCTAAAACACATGAGAAAGCGGGGGTGACCATAAACACAACATGCTCGAGGGAGACCAAATCGAAATGAGAAAAAAAAAACGTGGTTTAAAGTTCAGTGACCAAATCGTCAGTGACTTCAAAATTTGGTGACCGCCGCTGCAAACTGCCCCTATCAAATCAATTATAGATGAGAGAGAGAAGGAAGGAAGGCACCACCGCCGACGAGAACGTACCGTAATTCTTGACGGTGTAGTAAGGGAAGGGGAAGACACGGAGGGCGGCGTCGTCGGCGACGTCCAACTCCCTCGCCTGAGCTTCCTTCAGCATCTGTAGGGCTTCATTCAGATCTCCCTTCAGAAACCGGTACGGGCGGCCGTCGAAGCCTTGGCTCCTCAGGTGCGCCTCCAGCCGCTTGGGCTTGATCCACAGCCAGTTCACCACCCTCCACAGCCACGCCGTCACGGCCACCGCCGCCACCGCCAAAACCACCGACGTTTTGCTGTAAGTTTCCATTTTAGAGTAGAGTGTTACTGCGTTTTTCAAGGGTAAGGATATTATATAATATATATATAGACGCCATGGTTTGGATATTTTTATAAAGGCAAGGCCACCCGACCAAACTAAGCCTGTGGTGACAGATTTCCTTACGTCATTTCCTTGCTTGGATAGCCTTAGAAGTTAGAATTGTCGCTGGTACTTTTTCCCGCCGCTGTTTTCTATAGTAATCCTCTTTTTATTTTAAGGGGAAAAAAAGTTCAGATTGTACACCTGAAAAAATCACGCCAAGTTAGGAAGCTGAGCCATCATTTAAGGAGAAAAAATCGCTGCCAGCGACACCCCGACTACCAGTCGTAGTAGGGGTGGGCAAACGGTTCGGATGAGAAAAAATCGCTGTCAGCGAGACCCCGACTACTAGTCGTAGTAGGAGTGGGCAAACGGTTCGGTAAATCCGAACCGAACCGAAACCGAATTAAATCGAACCGAAATCGAAAGGAAAATATGGATAGTATGGAAATCAGGGTTCTTTCAACCAAACCGAATTTCCGACCGAAAAAACGAAATACTATAATTGCAAGCTCCAAATGGTAGATTTTTATGTTTGTAGTTGTTTTTAGACTTAAATATTTGAAATGTTTTATGACTTATGTGTTGAAAAGTTTGATTTTATTATTGATGATGCATATAATTGATATTTATTGTTTATATTAGGGGTGAAAAAATAATTTAAAAGTGAGAAAATACAAGTAGCTTCACAAATTCGGTTTTGGGTGAAAAATCGAACCGAATCGAATTATAATTCGATTTAAACCGACCAAACCGAATTATAATTCGATTCGAATTCGATTTGAGGTTTGAGAGAATTCGGGGACCGGGTATTCATAATTTCGGTTTGGTTGAAACCGAACCGACCAAATGCCCACCCTTAAGTCGTAGCTGCTGATAATCCGATTGAAGTCACAACAACAAAATTAATCAAGGAAAAAAGAGAGGAAAGGATGAGTTTGAGACGGTGGTTATGGATATCTGGCAGTGTGTAGAGCCACGTGCTGGTGAACAATGTGTTTAATTTCCACACACCCATTCTCGAACCGGACAGTTGGACCATTATTATGTTTGTAAATTGATGGGTGGTCGGCATAAAAACGTATAATAATTAATGGTCATTAACAAGAGTACCAATAGGGATTAGGGACCCATTGTTCCCATCATATATATTGTACCTCCTCTAGCTAGGGATGTTTGGATTAATGGATTCACTTTGTGTTGTTGACCCGTATCTTGTTGAGATACTAGCTATTCGAGATGGTATGTTTATTGGGTTCAGTCACTTTTCAATATTGTGTGAAGTTTGAGAGCAATTCGATAATTTATTTGTGAGTGAAGTCAGATGCAAATTAGTAGTTTAAATTTAGGATTAGAATTTAAAACAGCCCATAAGACTGTCATCTAAATTGTTCATGGAGTGGGGAACAAAGTCGTTTTTATATCTTATTTAAAGTTATTTTTCATTTAGTTTTCGATTATGAGAGGTTATAGATTCAATTTGAGATTATTTTGTATTTATGTTGACGTATCCATAAGGTTTAACTGTTAATTCGTTGAAAGAAAATTAAAAGTATTTTTTAGACTATATATTTTCAATAGAAAATGGCAATTCGGAAAAATAACTCGAATTCTGTGATGGTACCCCTTTGGAATCTGCCAAAAATGGACTCGAAATAAATTCGCACAAATCGGCACTTAATAGACTTGATCATCGTTGAAGAATAGACTCAGGCCGAATCCGTGATCTGTAGCCTTCAAAATCCATGGAAAATTGTCTTTCATCGCCCAAAAATTTATGAAAATGCCATCCGAAAATAAATTCGCCCAAATCGGTGCTTAATGGATTTATCATCCGTGGAGAATAGGATCAATAGACTTCATTATCGGTGGAGAATAAGCTCGGCCTGATTCCGTGATCTGCAGCCTCGAGAATCGAAAGAAAATGGCATTTCGGAAAAATCGCCCGAAATCTGTGATGGTACCCCCTTTCGAATCTGCTAAAAAGGGACCCGGAATAAATCCGGCCAAATTGGCACTTAATGGACTTAATCATCGTTGAAGAATAGCCTCATGCCGAATCCATGATCTGTAGCCTTCAAAATCCAAAGAAAATTGTATTTCGTCACCCAAAAAATTACGAAAATGTCATCCGAAAATAAATTGGTCCAAATCGGTGCTTAATGGACTTATCATCCGTGGAGAATAGGATCAATAGACTTCATTATCGATGGAGAAAATGCTCGGCCTGATTCCGTGATCTACAACCTCCAGAATCGTAAGAACATGGCATTTCGGAAAAATCGCCCGAAATCTGTGATGGTACCCCTTTGGAATCTGCCAAAAATGGACCCGGAATAAATTCGCCCAAATCGCCACTTAATGGACTAAATCATCGTTGAAGAATAGCCTCAGGCTGAAACCGTGATCTATAGCCTTCAAAATCCAAAGAAAATTGTATTTCGTTGACCAAAAAATTACGAAAATGCCATCCAAAAATAAATTGGCCCAAATCGGTGCTTAATGGACTTATCATCCGTGGTGAATAGGATCAATAGACTTCATTATCGATTGAGAATAGGCTTGGCCTGATTCCGTGATCTACAACCTCCAGAATCGAAAGAAAATGACATTTCGGAAAAATCGCCCGAAATCTGTGATGGTACCCCTTTGGAATCTGCAAAAAATGGACACGGAATAAATTCGCCCAAACCGACACTTAATAGTCTTAATCATCGTTGGAGAATAGCCTCAGGCTGAATCTGTGATCTGTAGCCTACAAAATCCATGGAAAATTACTATTTGTCGCCCAAAAAATTACGAAAATGTCATCCGAAAATAAATTGGCTCAAATCGGTGCTTAATGGACTTATCATCAGTGGAGAATAGGATCAATACACTTCATTATCGATGGAGAATAGTCACTGCCTGATTCCGTGATCTACAGCCTCAAGAATCGAAAGATTTCGGAAAAATCACCCGAAATCTGTGATGGTACCCCTTTGAAATCTGCAAAAAATGGACCCGGAATAAATTCGCCCAAATCGGCACTTAATGGACTTAATCATCGTTGTAGAATAGCCTCAAGCTGAATCTGTGATCTGTAGCCTTCAAAATCCATGGAAAATTGCCTTTTGTCGCCCAAAAATTTACGAAAATGCCATCCGAAAATAAATTGGCCCAAATCGGTGCTTAATGGACTTATCATCCGTGGAGAATAGTATCAATAGACTTCATTATCAGTGGAGAATAGGCTTGGCCTGATTCCGTGATCTACAACCTCCAGAATCTAAAGAAAATGGCATTTCGGAAAAATCTCTCGAAATCTGTGATGGTACCCCTTTGGAATTTGCCAAAAATGGACCCGGAATAAATTCGCCCAAATCAGCACTTAATGGACTTAATCATCGTTGAAGAATAGCCTCAGGCCAAATTAGCCTCAGGCCGAATCCGTGATCTGTAGCCTTCAAAATCCAAAGAAAAATGTATTTCGTCGCCCAAAAAATTACGAAAATGTTATCCGAAAATAAATTGGCCCAAATCGGTGCTTAATGGACTTATCATCCGTGGAGAATGGGATCGATAGACTTCATTATCGATGGAGAATAGGCTCGGCATGATACCGTGATCTATAGCCTCCAGAATCGAAAGAAAATGGCATTTCGGAAAAATTGCCCGAAATCTGTGATGGTACCCCTTTGGAATTTGCCAAAAATGGACTCGGAATAAATTCGCCCAAATTGGCAATTAATGGACTTGACCATCTTTGAAGAATAGCCTCAGGCCAAATCCGTAATCTGTAGCCTTCAAAATCCAAAGAAAATTGTATTTCGTCGAACAAAAAATTACGAAAATGCCATCCGAAAATAAATTGGCCCAAATCGGTGCTTAATGGACTTATCATCCGTGGAGAATAGGATCAATAGACTTCATTATCGATGGAGAATAGGCAAGGCCTGATTCCGTGATCTACAACCTCCAGAATCGAAAGAAAATGGCATTTCGGAAAAATCGCCCGAAATCTGTGATGGTACCCCTTTGGAATATGCAAAAAATGGACTCGGAATAAATTCTACCAAATCGTCACTTAATGGACTTAATCATCGTTGTAGAATATCCTCAGGCTGAATCTGTGATCTGTAGCCTTCAAAAGCTATGGAAAATTGCCTCGGTCGCCCAAAAAATTACCAAAATGCCATCCGAAAATAAATTGGGCCAAATTGGTGCTTAATGGACTTATCATCCGTGGAGAATAGGATCAATAGACTTCATTATCGATGGAGAATAGGCTTGGCCTGATTCCGTGATCTATAGCCTCCAGAATCTAAAGAAAATTGCATTTCGGAAAAATCGCCCGAAATCTGTGATGGTACCCCTTTGGAATCTGCCAAAAATGGACCCGGAATAAATCCGCCCAAATCAGCACTTAATGGACTTAATCATCGTTGAAGAATAGCCACAGGCTGAATCCGTGATCTGTAGCCTTCAAAATCCATGAAAATTGCCTTTCTTCGCCCCAAAAATTACGAAAATACCATCCGAAAATAAATTGGACCAAATCGGTGCTTAATGGACTTATCATCCGTGGAGAATAGGATCAATAGACTTCATTAGCTGTGGAGAATATGCTCGGCCTGATCCCGTGATCTAAAACCTCCAGAATCGTAAGAACATGGCATTTCGGAAAAATCGCCTGAAATCTGTGCTAGTACCCCCTTTGGAATCTGCCAAAAATGGAACCGAAATAAATTCGCCCAAATCGGCACTAAATGGACTTAATCATCGTTGAAGAATAGCTTGAGGCTAAATCCGTGATCTGTAGCCTTCAAAATCCATGGAAAATTGCCTTTCTTCGCCCACAAAATTCGAAAATACCATCCGAAAATAAATTGGCCCAAATCGGTGCTTAATGGACTTATCATCCGTGGAGAATAGGATCAATAGACTTCATTATAGATGGAGAATAGGCTCGGCCTAATTCCGTGATCTACAGCCTCCAGAATCAAAAGAAAATGGCATTTCGGAAAAATCGCCCGAAATCTATGATGGTACTCCTTTTGGAATCTGCCAAAAATGGACCCGGAATAAATTCGCCCAAATCGGCACTTAATGGACTTAATCAATGTTGAAGAATAGCCTCAGGCTGAATCCGTGATCTGTAGCTTTCAAAATCCATGGAAAATTGCCTTTCTTCGCCCAAAAAATTACGAAAATACCATCCGAAAATAAATTGGACCAAATCGGTGCTTAATGGACTTATCATCCGTGGAGAATAGGATCAATAGACTTCATTATCGATGGAGAATATGCTCGGCCTGATTCCGTGATCTACAACCTCCAGAATCGTAAGAACATGGCATTTTGGAAAAATCGCCCGAAATCTGTGATGGTACCCCTTTGGAATCTGCCAAAAATGGACCCGGAATAAATTCGCCCAAATCGCCACTTAATGGACTAAATCATCGTTGAAGAATAGCCTCAGGTTGAATCTGTGATCTGTAGCCTTCAAAATCCAAAGAAAATTGTATTTCGTCGACCAAAAAATTACAAAAATGCCATCCGAAAATAGATTGGCACAAATCGGTGCTTAATGGACTTATCATTCGTGGTGAATAAGATCAATAGCTTCATTATCGATGGAGAATAGGCTTGGCCTAATTCCGTGATCTACAGCCTCCAGAATCGAAAGAAAATGGCATTTCCGAAAAATCGCCTGAAATCTGTGATGGTACCCCTTTGGAATCTGCCAAAAATGGACCCGGAATAAATTCGCCCAAATCGGCACTTAATGTACTTAATCATCGTTGAAGAATATCCTCATGCTGAATCCTTGATTTGTAGCCTTCAAAATCCATGGAAAATTGACTTTCTTCGCCCAAAAAATTACGAAAATACCATCCAAAAATAAATTGGCCCAAATTGGTGCTTAATGGACTTATCATCCGTGGAGAATAGGATCAATAGACTTCGTTATCGATGGAGAATAGGCTTGGCCTGATTCCGTGATCTATAGCCTCCAGAATCTAAAGAAAATTGCATTTCGGAAAAATCGCCCGAAATCTGTGATGGTACCCCTTTGGAATCTGCCAATAATGGACCCGGAATAAATCCGCCCAAATCAGCACTTAATGGACTTAATCATCGTTGAAGAATAGCCACAGGCTGAATCCGTGATCTGTAGCCTTGAAAATCCATGAAAATTGCCTTTCTTCGCCCCAAAAATTACGAAAATACCATCCGAAAATAAATTGGACCAAATCGGTGCTTAATGGACTTAATCATCGTTCAAGAATAGCCTCAGTCTTATTCCGTGATCTGTAGCCTTCATAATCCATGGAAAATTGCCTTTCTTCGCCCAAAAAATTATGAAAATACCATCTGAAATTAAATTGGCCCAAATCGGTGCTTAATGGACTTATCATCCGTGGAGAATAGGATCAATAGACTTCATTATTGATGGAGAATAGGCTCGACCGTATTCAGTGATCTTTAGGTTCCAGAATCGAAAGAAAATGGCATTTCGGAAAAATCGCCCAAAATCTCTGATGGTACCCCTTTGGAATCTGCCAAAAATGGACCCGGAATAAATTCGCCCAAACCGGCACTTAATGGACTTAATCATCGTTGAAGAATAGCCTCAGGGCGAATCCGTGATCTGTAGCCTTCAAAATCCAAAGAAAATTGTATTTCGCCGCCGAAAATAGATTGGCCCAAATCGGTGCTTAATGGACTTATCATTCGTGGTGAATAAGATCAATAGCTTCATTATCGATGGAGAATAGGCTTGGCCTAATTCCGTGATCTACAGCCTCCAGAATCGAAAGAAAATGGCATTTCCGAAAAATCGCCTGAAATCGGTGATGGTACCCCTTTGGAATCTGCCAAAAATGGACCCGGAATAAATTCGCCCAAATCGGCACTTAATGTACTTAATCATCGTTGAAGAATATCCTCATGCTGAATCCTTGATTTGTAGCCTTCAAAATCCATGGAAAATTGACTTTCTTCGCCCAAAAAATTACGAAAATACCATCCAAAAATAAATTGGCCCAAATTGGTGCTTAATGGACTTATCATCCGTGGAGAATATAATCAATAGACTTCGTTATCGATGGAGAATAGGCTCGGCCTGATTCCGTGATCTACAGCCTCTAGAATCGAAAGAAAATGGCATTTCGGTAAAATCGCCTGAAATCTGTGATGGTACCCCTTTGGAATCTGCCAAAAATGGACCCAGAATAAATTCGCCCAAATCGACACTTAATGGACTTAATCATCGTTGAAGAATAGCCTCAGGCTGAATCCGTGATCTGTAGCCTTCAAAATCCAAAGAAAATTGTATTTCGTCGTCCAAAAAATTACAAAAATGCCATCCGAAAATAAACTGGCCCAAATCGGTGCTTAATGGACTTATCATCGGTGTAGAATAGGATCAATGGACTTCATTATCGATGGAGAATAGGCTCGGCCTGATTCTGTGATCTACAGCCTCCAAAATCGAAAGAAAATGACATTTCGGAAAAATCGCCCGAAATCTGTGATGGTACCCCTTTGGAATCTGCCAAAAATGGACCCGGAATAAATTCTCCCAAATCGGCACTTAATGTACTTAATCATCCTTGAAGAATAGCATCAGACTGAATCCGTGATTTGTAGCCTTCAAAATCCATGGAAAATTGCCTTTCTTCGCCCAAAAAATTACGAAAATACCATCCAAAAATAAATTGGCCCAAATTGGTGCTTAATGGACTTATCATCCGTGGAGAATAGGATCAATAGACTTCGTTATCGATGGAGAATAGGCTCGGCCTGATTCCGTGATCTACAGCCTCCAGAATCGAAAGAAAATGGCATTTCGGTATAATCGCCAGAAATCTGTGACGGTACCCCTTTGGAATCTGCCATAAATGGACCCAGAATAAATTCGCCCAAATCGACACTTAATGGACTTAATCATCGTTGAAGAATAGCCTCAGGCTGAATCCGTGATCTGTAGCCTTCAAAATCCAAAGAAAATTGTATTTCGTAGTCCAAAAAATTACAAAAATGCCATCCGAAAATAAACTGGCCCAAATCGGTGCTTAATGGACTTATCATCGGTGTAGAATAGGATCAACAGACTTCGTTATCGATCGAGAATAGGCTCGGCCTGATTCCGTGATCTACAACCTCCAGAATCGAAAGAAAATGGCATTTCGGAAAAATCGCCCAAAATATGTGATGGTACCCCTTTGGAATCTGCCAAAAATGGACCTGGAATAAATTCGCCAAAATCGGCACTTAATGGATTTAATAATCATTGAAGAATAGACTCAGGCCGAATCCGGGATCAGTAGCCTTCAAAATCCATAGAAAATTGCCTTTCCCCGCCCAAAAAATTACGAAAATACCATCCGAAATAAAATTGGCCCAAATCGATGCTTAATGGACTTATCATCCGTGGAGAATAGGATCAATAGACTTCATTATTGATGGAGAATAGGCTCGGCCAGATTCCGTGATCTACAGCCTCCAGAATCGAAAGAAAATGGCATTTCAGAAAAATCGTCCGAAATCTGTGATGGTACCCCTTTGGAATCTACCAAAAATGGACCCGGAATAAATTAGCCCAAATCGGCACTTGATGGATTTAATCATCGTTGAGGAATATTCTCAGGCCGAATACGTGATCTGTAGCCTTCAAAATCCAAAGAAAATTGTATTTCTTTGCCCAAAAAATAACGAAAATGCCATCCGAAAATAAATTGGCCCAAAACGGTGCTTAATGGACTTATCATCCGTGGAGAATAGGATCAATAAACTTCATATCGATGGAGAATAGGCTCTGCCTGATTCTGTGATCAACAACCTCCAGAATAGAAAGAAAATGACATTTCAGAAAAATCACCCGAAATATGTGGTTGTACCCCCTTTGGAATCTGCCAAAAATGGACCCAGAATAAATTCGCCCAAATCGGCACTAAATGGACTTAATCATCGTTCAAGAATAGCCTCAGTCTGAATCCGTGATCTGTAGCCTTCATAATCCATGGAAAATTGCCTTTCTTCGCCCAAAAAATTATGAAAATACCATCCGAAATTAAATTGGCCCAAATCGGTGCTTAATGGACTTATCATCCGTGGAGAATAGTATCAATAGACTTCATTATCAGTGGAGAATAGGCTCGGCCTGATTCCGTGATCTACAACCTCCAGAATCTAAAGAAAATGGCATTTCGGAAAATATCCCGAAATCTGTGATGGTACCCCTTTGGAATTTGCCAAAAATGGACCCGGAATAAATTCGCCCAAATCAGCACTTAATGGACTTAATCATCGTTGAAGAATAGCCTCAGGCCAAATTAGCCTCAGGCCGAATCCGTGATCTGTAGCCTTCAAAATCCAAAGAAAAATGTATTTCGTCGCCCAAAAAATTACGAAAATGTTATCCGAAAATAAATTGGCCCAAATCGGTGCTTAATGGACTTATCATCCGTGGAGAATGGGATCGATAGACTTCATTATCGATGGAGAATAGGCTCGGCCTGATACCGTGATCTATAGCCTCCAGAATCGAAAGAAAATGGTATTTCGGAAAAATCGCCCGAAATCTGTGATGGTACCCCTTTGGAATTTGCCAAAAATGGACTCGGAATAAATTCGCCCAAATTGGCAATTAATGGACTTGACCATCTTTGAAGAATAGCCTCAGGCCAAATCCGTAATCTGTAGCCTTCAAAATCCAAAGAAAATTGTATTTCGTCGAACAAAAAATTACGAAAATGCCATTCGAAAATAAATTGGCCCAAATCGGTGCTTAATGGACTTATCATCCGTGGAGAATAGGATCAATAGACTTCATTATCGATGGAGAATAGGCAAGGCCTGATTCCGTGATCTACAACCTCCAGAATCGAAAGAAAATGGCATTTCGGAAAAATCGCCCGAAATCTGTGATGGTACCCCTTTGGAATATGCAAAAAATGGACTCGGAATAAATTCTACCAAATCGTCACTTAATGGACTTAATCATCGTTGTAGAATATCCTCAGGCTGAATCTGTGATATGTAGCCTTCAAAAGCTATGGAAAATTGCCTTGGTCGCCCAAAAAATTACCAAAATGCCATCCGAAAATAAATTGGGCCAAATTGGTGCTTAATGGACTTATCATCCGTGGAGAATAGGATCAATAGACTTCATTATCGATGGAGAATAGGCTTGGCCTGATTCCGTGATCTATAGCCTCCAGAATCTAAAGAAAATTGCATTTCGGAAAAATCGCCCGAAATCTGTGATGGTACCCCTTTGGAATCTGCCAATAATGGACCCGGAATAAATCCGCCCAAATCAGCACTTAATGGACTTAATCATCGTTGAAGAATAGCCACAGGCTGAATCCGTGATCTGTAGCCTTGAAAATCCATGAAAATTGCCTTTCTTCGCCCCAAAAATTACGAAAATACCATCCGAAAATAAATTGGACCAAATCGGTGCTTAATGGACTTAATCATCGTTCAAGAATAGCCTCAGTCTGATTCCGTGATCTGTAGCCTTCATAATCCATGGAAAATTGCCTTTCTTCGCCCAAAAAATTATGAAAATACCATCTGAAATTAAATTGGCCCAAATCGGTGCTTAATGGACTTATCATCCGTGGAGAATAGGATCAATAGACTTCATTATTGATGGAGAATAGGCTCGACCGTATTCAGTGATCTTTAGCTTCCAGAATCGAAAGAAAATGGCATTTCGGAAAAATCGCCCAAAATCTCTGATGGTACCCCTTTGGAATCTGCCAAAAATGGACCCGGAATAAATTCGCCCAAACCGGCACTTAATGGACTTAATCATCGTTGAAGAATAGCCTCAGGGCGAATCCGTGATCTGTAGCCTTCAAAATCCAAAGAAAATTGTATTTCGCCGCCCAAAAAATTATGAAAATGCCATCCGAAAATAAATTGGCCCAAAACGCTGCTTAATGGACTTATCATCCTTGGAGAATAGGATCAATAGACTTCATTATCGATGGAGAATAGGCTCGGCCTGATTCTGTGATCTACAGCCTCCAGAATCGAAAGAAAATGGCATTTAGGAAAAATCGCCTGAAATCTGTGATGGTACCCCTTTGGAATCTGCCCAAAATGGACCCAGAATAAATTCGAACAAATCGGCACTTAATGGACTTAATCATCGTTGAAGAATAGCCTCAGGCTGAATCCGTGATATGTAGCCTTCAAAATACAATGAAAATTGCCTTTCTTCGCCCAAAAAATAATGAAAATACCATCCGAAAATAAATTGGCCCAAATCGGTGCTTAATGGACTTATCATTCGTGGAGAATAGGATCAATAGACTTCATTATTGATGGAGAATAGGCTCGGCTGTATTCCGTGATCTACAGCCTCCAGAATCTAAAGAAAATGGCATTTCGGAAAAATCGCCTGAAATCTGTGATGGTACCCCTTTGGAATCTGCCAAAAATGAACGCGGAGTAAATTCGGCCAAACCGGCACTTAATGGACTTAATCATCGTTGAAGAATAGCCTCAGGCTGAATCCGTGATCTTTAGCCTTCAAAATCCATGGAAAATTGCCTTTATTCGCCCAAAAAATTACGAAAATATCACCCGAAAAAAATTGGCCCAAATCGGTGTTGACTGGACTTATCATCCGTGGAGAATAGGATCAATAGACTTCATTATCGATGGAGAATAGGCTGGGCCTGATTTCGTGATCTACAGCCTCCAGAATGAAAGAAAATGGCATTTCGGAAAAATCGGCCGAAATCTGTGATGGTACCCCTTTGGAATATGCCAAAAATAGACCCGGAATAAGTTCGACCTAATCGGCACTTAATGGACTTAATCATCGTTGAAGAATAGCCTCAAGCTGAATCCGTGATATGTAGCCTTCAAAATCCAGGTAAAATTGCCTTTCTTCTCCCAAAAAATTACGAAAATATCATCCGAAAATAAATTGGCCCAAATCGGTGCTTAATGGACTTATCATCCGTGGAGAATAGGATCAATAGACTTCATTATCGATGGATAATAGGCTCGGCCTTATTTCGTGATCTACAGCCTCCAGAATCGAAAGAAAATGGCATTTCGGAAAAATCGCCCGAAATCTATGATGGTACACCTTTGGAATCTGCCAAAAATGGACCCAGAATAAATTCGCACAAATCGGCACTTAATTGAATTAATCGTCGTTGAAGAATATCCTCAGGCCGAATCCATGATGTGTAGCCTTCAAAATCCAACGAAATTTGTATTTCGTCGGCCAAAAAATTACGAAAATGCCATTCGAAAAAAATTGGCCCAAATCGGTGCTTAATGGACTTATCATCCGTGGAGAATAGGATCAATAGACTTCATTATCGATGGAGAATTGGCTCGTCCTGATTCCGTGATCTACAGCCTCCAGAATCGAAAGAAAATGGCATTTCGGAAAAATCGCCCGAAATCTGTGATGGTTCCCCTTTGGAATCTGCCAAAAATGGACCCGGAATAAATTCGCCCAAATCTGAACTTAATGGACTTAATCATCGTTGAAGAATAGCCTCAGGATGAATCCGTGATCTTTAGCCTTCAAAATCCATGGAAAATTGCCTTTCTTCGCCCAAAAAATTACGAAAATGCCATCCCAAAATAAATTGGCCAAATCGGTGCTTAATGGATTTATCATCCATGGAGAATAGGATCAATAGACTTCATTATCGATGGAGAATAGGCTCGGCCTGATTCGGTGATCTACAGCCTCCAGAATCGGAAGAAAATGGCATTTTGAAAAATCGCCCAAAATCTGTGATGGTACCCCTTTGGAGTCTGCCAAAAAAGGACCCGGAATAAATTCGCCCATATCGGCACTTAATGAACATAATCATTGTTGAAGAATAGCCTTAGGCAGAATCCGTGATCTGTAGCCTTCAAAATCCATGGAAAATTGCCTTTCTACGCCCTAAAAATTACGAAAATACCATCCAAAAATAAATTGGCCCAATTCGATGCTTAATGGACTTATCATCCGTGGAGAATAGGACCAATAGACTTCATTATCGATGGAGAATAGGCTCAGCCCGATTTCGTGATCTACAGCCTCCAGAATCGAAAGAAAATGGCATTTCGGAAAAATCGCCCGAAATCTGTGATGGTACCCCTTTGGAATCTGCCAAAAATGGACCCGGAATAAATTCGCCCAATTCTGAACTTAATGGACTTAATCATCGTTGAAGAATAGCCTCAGGCTGAATCCGTGATCTGTAGGCTTCAAAATCCATGGAAAATTGCCTTTCTTCGCCCAAAAAATTACGAAAATACCATCCGAAAATAAATTGGCCCAAATCGTTTCTTAATGGACTTATCATCCGTGGAGAATAGGATCAATAGACTTCATTATCGATAGAGAATAGGCTCGGCCTGATTCCGTGATCTTCAGCCTCCAGAATCGAAAGAAAATGGCATTTCGGAAAAATCGCCCGAAATCTGTGATGGTAACCCCTTTGGAATCTGCCAAAAAAGGACCCGGAATAAATTTGCCCCAATCGGCACTTAATGAACATAATCATCATTGAAGAATAGCCTTAGGCTGAATCCGTGATATGTAGCCTTCAAAATCCATGGAAATTTTCCTTTCTTCGCCCAAAAAATTACGAAAATACCATCCAAAATTAAATATGCCCAAATCGGTGCTTAATAGACTTATCATCCGTGGAGAATAGGATCAATAGACTTCATTATCGATGGAGAACAGGCTTAGCCTGATTCCGGGATCTACAGCCTCCAGAATCGAAATAAAATGGCATTTCGTTAAAATCGCACGGAAATCTGTGATGGTACCCCTTTGGAATCTGCTAAAAATACCCGGAATAAATTCACCCAAATCGGCACATAATGAACTTAATCATCGTTGAAGAATAGTCTCAGGCCGAATTCGTGATCTGTAGCCTTCAAAATCCAAAGAAAATTGTATTTCGCCGCCAAAAAATTACGAAAATGCCATCCACAAATAAATTGGCCGTCATCGGTGCTTAATGGACTTATCATCCGTGGAGAATAGGATCAATAGAATTCATTATCGATGGAGAATAGGCTCGGCCTAATTCCATGGTCTACAGCCTCAAGAATTGAAAGAAAATGGCATTTCGGAAAAATCGGCCGAAATATGTGATGTTACCCCTTTGGAATCTGCCAAAAATGGACGTGGAATAAATTCGTCCAAATCTGAACTTAATGGACTTAATCATCGTTGAAGAATAGCCTCAGGCTGAATCCGTGATCTGGCCTTCAAAATCCATGGAAAATTGCCTTTCTTCGCCCAAAAAATTACGAAAATACCATCCGAATATAAATTTGCCCAAATCGTTGCTTAATGGACTTATCATCCGTGGAGAATAGGATCAATAGACTTCATTATCGATAGAGAATAGGCTCGGCCTGATTCCGTGATCTACAGCCTCCAGAATCGAAAGAAAATGGCATTTCGTAAAAATCGCCCGAAACTGTGATGGTACCCCTTTGGAATCTGCCAAAAAAGGACCCAGAATAAATTAGCCCAAATCGTCACTTAATGAACATAATCATCGTTTAAGAATAGCTTCAGGCTGAATCCGTGATCTGTAGCCTTCAAAATCCATGGAAAACTGCCTTTCTTCGCCCAAAAAAATACGAAAATACCATCCAAAAATAAATTGGCCCAAATCGGTGCTTAATGGACTTATCATCCGTGGAGAATAGGATTAATAGACTTCATTATCGATGGAGACTAGGCTCGGCCTGATTCCGTGATCTAAAGCCTCCAGAATCGAAAGAAAATGGCATTTCGGAAAAATCGCCCGAAATCTGTGATGGTACCCCTTTGGAATCTGCCAAAAATAGACCCGGAATAAATTCAAATAAATCCGCACTTAATGGACTTAATCATCGTTGAAGAATAGCCTCAGGCTGAATCCGTGATATGTAGCCTTCAAAATACATTGAAAATTGCCTTTCTTCGCCCAAAAAATTATGAAAATACCATCCGAAAATAAATTGGCCCAAATTGGTGCTTAATGGACTTATTATTCGTGCAGAATAGGATCAATAGACTTCATTATTGATGGAGAATAGGCTAGGCTGTATTCCGTGATCTACAGCCTCCAGAATCTAAAGAAAATGGCATTTCGGAAAAATCGCCAGAAATCTGTGATGGTACCCCTTTGGAATCTGCCAAAAATGAACCCGGAGTAAATTTGGCCAAACCGGCACTTAATGGACTTAATCATCGTTGAAGAATAGCCTCAGGCTGAATCCGTGATCTGTAGCCTTCAAAATCCATGGAAAATTGCCTTTCTTCGCCCAAAAAATTACGAAAATATCATCCGAAAAAAATTGGCCCAAATCGGTGCTGATTGGACTTATCATCCGTGGAGAATAGGATCAATAGACTTTATTATCGATGGAGAATAGGATCGTCCTGATTCCGTGATCTCCAGCCTCCAGAATCGAAAGAAAATGGCATTTCGGAAAAATCCCCCGAAATCTGTGATGGTACCCCTTTGGAATCTGTCAAAAATGAACCCGGAATAAATTCGCCCAAATCGGCACTTAAGGGACTTAATCATCATTGAAGAATAGCCTCAGGCTGAATCTGTGATCTGTAGCCTTCAAAATCCATGGAAAATTGCCTTCCGAAAATAAATTGGCCCAAATCGGTGCTTAATGGACTTATCATCCGTGGAGAATAGGATCAATAGACTTCATTATCGATGGAGAATAGGCTCGACACGATTTCGTGATCTACAGCCTCCAGAATCGAAAGAAAATGGCATTTCAGAAAAACCGAAATCTCTGATGGTACCCCTTTGGAATCTGCCAAAAATGGACCCGGAATCAATTCACCCAAACTGGCACTTAATGGACTTAATCATTGTTGAAGAATAGACTCAGGCTGAATCCGTGATCTGTAGCCTTCAAAATCCAAAGAAAATTGTATTTCGTCGACCAAAAAATAACGAAAATGCCATCCGAAAATAAATTAGCCCAAATTGGTGCTTAATAGACTTATCATCCGTGGATAATAGGATCAAAAGACTTCATTATCGATGGAGAATAGGCTCGGTCTGATTCCGTGATCTACAGCCTCCAGAATCGAAAAAACGGCATTTCGGAAAAATCGCCCGAAATCTGTGATGGTACCCATTTGGAATCTGCCAAAAATGGACCCGAAATAAATTCAACCAATTCGGCACTTAATGGACTTAATCATCGTTGAAGAATAGCCACAGGCTGAATCCGTGATCTGTAGCTTTCAAAATCCATGGAAAATTGCCTATCTTCGCCCAAAAAATTACGAAAAATACCATCCGAAAATAAATTCGCCCAAATCGGTGCTTAATGGACTTATCATTCGTGGAGAATATGATCAATAGACTTCATTATCGATGAAGAATAGGCTCGGCCTGATTTCGTGATCTACAGCCTCCAGAATCGAAAGAAAATGGTATTTCGGAAAAATCGGCAGAAATCTGTGATGTCATCCCTTTGGAATCTGCCAAAAATGGACCCGGAATTAATTTGCCCAAATCGGCACTTAATGGACTTAATCATCGTTGAAGAATAGCCTCAGGCTGAATCCGTGATATGTAGCCTTCAAAATCCATGGAAAATTGCCTTTCTTCGCACAAATTTTTTTGAAAATACCATCCGAAAATAAATTGGCCCAAATCGGTGCTTAATGGACTTATCATCCGTGGAGAATAGGATCAATAGACTTCATTATCGATGGAGAATAGGCTCGACTGATTCCGTGATCTACAACCTCCAGAATTGAAAGAAAATGACATTTCGGAAAAATCGTCCGAAATCTGTGATGGTACCACTCTGGAAAATATGTCAAAAATGGACCCGGAATAAATTCGCCCAAATCGGCACTTAAATGACTTAGTCATCGTTGAAGAATAGCCTCAGGCTGAATCCGTGATATGTAGCCTTCAAAATCCATGGAAAATTAGCTTTCTTCGCCCAAAAAATTACGAAAATACCATCCGAAAATAAATTGGCCCAAATCGGTGCTTAATGGACTTATCTCCGTGGAGAATAGGATCAATAGACTTCATTATCGATGGAGAATTGGCTCGGCATGATTCCGTGATCTACAGCCTCCAGAATCGAAAGAAAATGGCAATCGGAAAAATCGCCCGAAATTTGTGATGGTACCCTTCGGAATCTGCCAAAAATGGACCCGGAATAAATTCGCCCAAATCGGAACTTAATGAATTTAATCATCGTTGCAGAATAGCCTCAGGCCAAATCCGTGATCTGTAGCCTTCAAAATCAAAAGAAAATTGCCTTTCTTCGCCTAAAAAATTACGAAAATACCATCCGAAAATAAATTGGCCCAAATCGGTGCTTAATGGACTTATCATCCGTGGAGAATAGGATCAATAGACTTCATTATCGATGGAGAATAGGCTCGGCCCGATTTCGTATCTACAGCCTCTAGAATCGATAGAAAATGGCATTTCGGAAAAATCGCCCGGAATCTGTGATGGTACCCCTTTGGAATCTGCCAAAAATGGACACGGAATCAATTCACCCAAACTGGCACTTAATGGACTTAATCATCTTTGAAGAATAGCCTCAGGCTGAATCCGTGATCCGTAGCCTTCAAAATCCAAAGAAAATTGTATTTCGTCGCCCAAAAAATAACGAAAATGTCATCCGAAAATCAATTAGCCCAAATTGGTGCTTAATAGACATATCACCCGTGGAGAATAGGATCAATAGACTTCATTATCGAAGGAGAATAGGCTCGGCCTGATTCCGTGATCTACAGCCTCCAGATAAAAATGGCATTTCGGAAAAATCGCCTGAAATCTATGGTGGTACCCCTTTGGAATCTGCCAAATATGGACCGTGAATAAATTCGCCCAAATCAGCACTTAATGGACTTAATCATCGTTGAAGAATAGCCTCAGGCTGAATCCGTGAACTGTAACTTTCAAAATCCATGGAAAATTGCCTTTCTTCGCCCAAAAAATTACGAAAAATACCATCCGAAAATAAATTGGCCCAAATCGGTGCTTAATGGACTTATCATTCATGGAGAATAGGATCAATAGACTTCATTATCGATGGAGAATAGGCTCGGCCTGATTTCGTGATCTACAGCCTCCAAAATCGAAAGAAAATGGCATTTCGGGAAAATCGCTGGAAATTTGTGATGGTACCCCTTTGGAATCTGCCAAAAATGGACCCGGAATAAATTCGCCCAAATCGGCACTTAATGGACTTAATCATCGTTGAAGAATAGCCTCAGGCCGAATCCGTGATCTGTAGCCTTCAAAATCCATAGAAAATTGCTTTTCTTCGCCCAAAAAATTACGCTAATACCATCAGAAAATAAATTGGCCCAAATTGATGCTTAATGGACTTATCATCCGTGGAGAATAGGATCAATAGACTTCATTATCGATGGAGAATAGGCTCGGCCTGATTCCATGATCTACAGCATCCAGAATCGAAAGAAAATGGCATTTCGGAAAAATCGCACGAAATCTGTGATGGTACCCCTTTGGAATCTGCCAAAAATGGACCCGGAATAAATTCGCCCAAATCGGCACTTAATGGACTTAATCATCGTTGAAGTATAGCCTCAGGCCGAATCCGTGATCTGTAGCCTTCAAAATCCATAGAAAATTGCTTTTCTTCGCCCAAAAAATTACGCTAATACCATCAGAAAATAAATTGGCCCAAATTGATGCTTAATGGACTTATCATCCGTGGAGAATAGGATCAATAGACTTCATTATCGATGGTGAATAGGCTGGGTCTGATTCCGTGATCTACAGTCACCAAAATCGAAAGAAAATGGCATTTCGGAAAAATCGCCCGAAATCTGTGATAGTACCCCTTTGGAATCTGCCAAAAATGGACTCGGAATAAATTCGCCCAAATCGGCACTTAATGGACTCAATCATCGTTGAAGTATAGCCTCAGACTGAATCCGTGATCTGTAGCCTTGAAAATCCAAAGAAAATTGTATTTCGTCGACCAAAAAATTACGAAAATGCCATCCGAAAATAAATTGGCCCAAATCGGTGCTTAATGGACTTATCATCCGTGGAGAATAGGATTAATAGACTTCATTATCGATGGAGAATAGGCTCGGCCTGATTCCGTGATCTACAGCCTCCATAATCGAAAGAAAATGGCATTTTGGAAAAATCGCCCGAAATCTGTGATGGTACCCTTTTGGAATCTGCCCAAAATGGACCCGGAATAAATTCGCCCAAATCGGCACTTAATGGACTTAATCATCGTTGAAGAATAGCCTCAGACTGAATCCGTGATCTGTAGCCTTCAAAATTCATGGAAAATTGCCTTTCTTCGCCCAAAAAATTACGAAAATGCCATCCGAAAATAAATTGGCCCAAATCTGTGCTTAATGGACTAATCATCGGTGGAGTATAGGATTAATAGATTTAATTATCGATGGAGAATAGGCTCGGCCTGATTCCGTGATCTACAACATCCAGAATCGAAAGAAAATGGCATTTCGGAAAAATCGCTTGAAATCTGTGATGGTACCCCTTTGGAATCTGCCAAAAATGGACCCGGAATAAATTCGCCCAAATCGTCACTTAATGGACTCAATCATCGTTGAAGAATAGCCTCAGGCCGAATCCGTGATCTGTAGCCTTCAAAATCCATGGAAAATTGCCTTTCTTCGCCAAAAAATTACGAAAATGCCATCCGAATATAAATTGGCACAAATCGGTGCTTAATGGACTAATCATCCGTGGAGAATAGGATCAATAGACTTCATTATCGATGGAGAATAGGCTCGGCCTGATTCCGGAATCTACAGCCTCCAGAATCGAAAGAAAATGGCATTTCGAAAAAATCAACCGAAATCTGTGATGGTACCCCTTTGGAATCTGCCAAAAATGGACCCGGAATAAATTCGCCCAAATCGGCACTTAATGGACTTAATCATCGTTGAAGAATAGCCTCAAGCCGAATACGTGATCTGTAGCCTTCAAAATCAAAAGAAAATTGTATTTCATAGCCCAAAAAATTACGAAAATGCCATCCGAAAATAAATTGGACCAAATCGGTGCTTAATGGACTTATCATCCGTGGAGAATAGGATCAATAGACTTCATTATCGATGGAGAATAGGCTCGGCCTAATTCCGTGATTTACAGCCTCCAGAATCTAAAGAAAATGGCATTCCGCAAAAATCGCCCGAAATCTGTGATGGTACCCCTTTGGAGTCTGCCAAAAATGGACCCGGAATAAATTTGCTCAAATCAGCACTTAATGGACTTAATCATCGTTGAAGAATAGCATCAGGCCGAATCCGTGATCTGTAGCCTTCAAAATCCATAGAAAATTGCCTTTCTTCGTCAAAAAATTTACGAAAATACCATCCGAAAATAAATTGGCCAAAATTGATGATTAATCGACTTATCATCCGTGGAGAATAGGATCAATAGACTTCATTATCGATGGAGAATAGGCTCGGCCTGATTCCGTGATCTACACCCTCGAGAATCGAAAGAAACTGGCATTTCGGAAGAATCGCCCAAAATATGTGATGGTACCCCTTTAGAATCTGCCAAAAATGGACTCGGAATAAATTCGCCCAAATCGGCACTTAATGGACTCAATCATCGTTGAAGTATAGCCTCAGGCTGAATCCGTGATCTATAGCCTTCAAAATCCAAAGATAATTGTATTTCGTCGACCAAAAAATTACGAAAATGCCATCCGAAAATAAATTGGCCCAAATCGGTGCTTAATGGACTTATCATCCGTGGAGAATAGGATCAATAGACTTCATTATCGATGGAGAATAGGCTCGGCCTGATTCCGTGATCTACAACCTCCAGAATCGAAAGAAAATGGCATTTTGGAAAAATCGCACGAAATCTGTGATGGTACCCTTTTGGAATCTGCCCAAAATGGACCCGGAATAAATTCGCCCAAATCGGCACTTAATGTACTTAATCATCGTTGAAGAATAGCCTCAGGCTGAATCCGTGATGTGTAGCCTTCAAAATCCATGGGAAATTGCCTTTCTTCGCCCAAAAAAATTACGAAAATACCATCCGGAAATAAATTGGTCCAAATCGGTGCTTAATGGACTTATCATCCGTGGAGAATAGGATCAATAGACTTCATTATCGATGGAGAATAGGCTCGGCCTGATTCCGTGATCCACAGCCTCCAGAATCGAAAGAAAATGACATTTCGAAAAAATCAACCGAAATCTGTGATGGTACCCCTTTGGAATCTGCCAAAAATGGACCCGGAATTAATTCGCCCAAATCGGCACTTAATGGACTTCATCATCGTTGAAGAATAGCCTCATGCCGAATCCGTGATCTGTAGCCTTCAAAATCCAAAGAAAATTGTATTTCGTCGCCCAAAAAATTACGAAAATGTCATCCGAAAATAAATTGGCCCAAATCGGTGCTTAATGGACTTATCATCGGTGGAGAATAGGATCAATAGACTTCATTATCGAAGGTGAATAGGCTCGGCCTGATTCCGTGATCTACAGCCTCCAAAATCGAAAGAAAATGGCATTTCGGAAAAATCGCCCGAAATCTGTGATGGTACCCACTTTGGAATTTACCAAAAATGGACCCGGAATAAATTCGCCCAAATCGGCACTTAATGGACTCAATCATCGTTGAAGAATAGCCTCAGGCCGAATCCGTGATCTGTAGCCATCAAAATCGAAAGAAAATTGTATTTCGTCGTCCAAAAAATTACGAAAATACCATCCGAAAATAAATTGGCCCAAATCGGTGCTTAATGGACTTATCATCCGTGGAGAATAGGATCAATAGACTTAATTATCAATGGAGAATAGGCTCTGCCTGATTCCGTGGGCTAAAGCCTCCAGAATCTAAAGAAAATGGCATTTCGGAAAAATCGCCCGAAATCTGTGATGGTAGCCCTTTGGAATCTGCCAAAAATGGACCCGGAATAAATTCGCCCAAATTGGCACTTAATGGACTCAATCATCGTTGAAGAATAGCCTCATGCCAAATCTGTGATCTGTAGCCTTCAAAATCCAAAGAAAATTGTATTTCGTCGCACAAAAAATTACGAAAATGCCATCCGAAAATAAATTGGCCCAAATCGGTGCTTAATGGACTTATCATCCGTGGAGAATTGGATCAGTAGACTTCATTGTCGATGGAGAATAGGCTCGGCCTGATTCCGTGATCTACAGCCTCCAGAATCGAAAGAAAATGGCATTTTGGAAAAATCGCCCGAAATCTGTGATGGTACCCTTTTGGAATCTGCCCAAAAACGACCCGGAATAAATTCGCCCAAATCGGCACTTAATGGACTTAATCATCGTTGAAGAATAGCCTCAGGCTGAATCCGTGATCTGTAGCCTTCAAAATCCATGGAAAATTGCCTTTCTTCGCCCCAAAAATTACGAAAATACCATCCGAAAATAAATTGGCCCAAATCGGTGCTTAATGGACTTATCATCCGTGGAGAATAGGATCAATAGACTTCATTATCGATGGAGAATAGGCTCGGCCTGATTCCGTGATCTACAGCCTCGAGAATCGAAAGAAAATGGCATTTCGAAAAAATCAACCGAAATCTGTGATGGAACCCCTTTGGAATCTGCCAAAAATAGACCCGGAATAAATTTGCCCAAATCGGCACTTAATGGATTCATCATCGTTGAAGAATAGCCTCAGGCCGAAT